TTGTGTGAGTATGAGAAGAGGCCTGGTATCTCAACTTATTCAATTTTTGTTTTATTGATGAATTTAGACTAAGACTCGTTAAGATCTATTGTAATATTTTCATTTTTCTTGTCTTTGTTGTTTTTAATATGGTAAAGAAAAATAAAAGTTGGCCTATATAATGTGGATTTTCTAGGAAAAAAATCATTGTACAAAAAATACAGACCTGGCTGATGGTGTTTAAAAGTATTTGTTCCCTCTATGGTCATTTGATGTAATTTATGATAACAAACTGGAGCTGATGATGTGAGTTTATATTTCTCCCTGTGTCTCTGTCCACAGAGCGAGTGCAGCAGATCGTGCGTGGATTCAACTCAGACTGGAAGCGGGCGCTAGAGAGTATCAACCAGGAGGTCATGAGGGCCTTCACAAACTTCAAGAACGGCACTCAGATTTTACAGGTACACTTTACCTTTGAGACTTTGGTGTTGTTTGAGAAAGTCTTGCTGTGTTGGAAGGGGGTTGGGGTTTTTTTTAGGCGGGGGGGAGATGGGGGGATGAAATAGCATAATAGCATGTTTTTCTTGTGTGTTTTCTTCTTCTTTTTGCCCTCAGTTTTTTCCTGTCTGTTTGTCTTGCCTTTTCTGCAACACAAAAGTACCATTGTGATATGAGTTGGTGTGCTGTGCTTCCCTTTACTTACATTATTACTATTCCTGGATTATTTCTTTCCCTAGAAATCAAATTTCTTTTATTGAGAACTGAACAACAAAGATATATTATACCTGATGTACTGAGGAATGGCATAGTGTACAAAATTAACTACTTACCTTGCCTATATGGAGGCTACTCATTTTACTTATCGCTGTTGTTTTTATTCTGGTAAAGAAAAATAAAATTGGGCTTCTGCCACTGTAATGCGGATTTCCTTAAAGAAAAGATCGTTATTTTTTGTATAGAAAATACAGACCTGATGACGTATTATTAGTATTAAAGCATTTGTTCCCTCTTTAGTCATTATTATAACAAAGTGGAGCTGGTGTGTTACATGTCATCGTGACTTATCCTTGTTGTATTTTTATTGTTTTCAGGGGGCCTTGACCCTGCTGATCCAGTACTACCACCGCTTCCAGAAGATTCTGTCTCAGCCGGTGTTCCGGAATCTGCAGATCAAGCATGAGCTCATCAACATCCACCATGTGATGGTGGAAGTGAAGAAGTACAAGCCGACTTTCTGAGCCGTCGATTGCTTGTCTGTCTTGTTTTAAGTTCTGACGTACAGTCAAGTCCACATGAACTAAACACTTTTAACCCCAAAACAACAGTAAAACAAATTTTCAAAAGAAAGAAAAATCCCTCAATTTTATTTCTCTTTTTTCTTCTTGAACAACTTTTCTAAATGAAAACACAGCTAAACCAAAGAAAATGCAGTGGTCCCACAGTTTTCAGTTGAAGCAGACTCCACTGTATATTTATTGTCAGTGTAGTAAGAGCAATGAGAAACTTTATGGTTTCTAATTAATCATCCTGAAAAGCTAGGTAGGGAAGTAACCCTTTTTTTTTCATGACAGTTGTGATTTGTGGGCTTGTTTATATAGCTCTGGCCTACTTGATCAGGCAGCACTGCCTGACAAAAACTTTTGGGGCTTTAAACATTTTGCTTCTGGTGTTTTGAGAATAGTGTAGTACATCGGGCCCATGTTGGTGCATGAAAGGAATGTAACGTAGGACCGAATTCTTGGTCTGTGATGGCTCACAGTTGGAGAAAAATCTTACATCTCTTTGTCTCCAGGTATTATTCTGGCCCGTCCATGGCTAACTTTGGAAGGGGAGAGTGCCTTTATTTTTGTTTAGGGCTTTTAGTCCGTCATCAGTTTTTGAATGTTCATGCATTATGCTGTCAAAATATCTGCTTTGAACAAATCCTTCAGGACATCTGTTTCAAAAATAAATCAATGTCTTGGTTTGATCTGGCAGAATTATTTTTTTCAGGCCATTCTCACAGACCACTAGATTTCAGAATCTAAAGAGTCAAATTTCAACAAAAAATTACCCATTGAATTTGTAGAGTTGGAAGTGCTACTACTACATGTATTACTAGTGTCAGAGGTGGTGGTGATTTTAGGCTTAAAGTCGAAATTCAAAATTGATGACAGGTCACTTTGAGATTTTGCACAATCAAGAGTTTGGTGGTTTTTCTCATGTACATGAGAAGTTAGTACTGACCTTCCCATTGACTTTATGTAGATGGGTTTTTTTTTACATTAGGAGCTATAAGCATTATCCTCACGATGACTTCTTTGGATCCATTCTTTAATTAATTATACAATGGATCTTTAGTCAATGCATCTTGAAATTTAGAGCCTGGCATGGCGAATTTTGTGAGCAACAGTCAAGAATGTTCAGTCACAGAAACCTTACCTCTGTCGGAACTACAATAGATCTAGATCTAGTCCCTTCAAATAGAACTACACATAATACCAAAATGGCTTCCCATATCTGCAGCAAGAGTAATGGGTCCAGCAAACAATGAAAGCCATGATAGGAAAACAGTCAGGACCCTCACTTTATGAACAGCGCCAGTGATTCTCAGTGTTTTCTACTTTTACTTGATTTTTTTTTTAATGGTTTCTCTTGAGCTGAAATTTTTGTATGAAGAAATGTTTGCCTTTCTGTCGCGATCCCCTCTCTCATCACAAGTGAGTTTTACACCCCGTTTCCATCTGTGGGTGGGTGTGGGATGGTGAGTTGCTCAAAGACCTCTCCAAACACAACCATGTGTCTTATAGAACCAACAGAATGCTGCATTGAAACTGCTCTCGAAGTATGTTGAATGCTTTTACAATTTACAGTCAAGAAATACTTGAATGCGACATATACATGAAGTGGGGGGGATGTGCCGAATGAAAGTATCTTGTGGATACCTATTTATATATAATAAAAATAATATGATATACAGATTCTCTCTCTACTGTGGTGGCAGGGCTCGGTAATGTTGCAACACTGTGAACATGTATGAGATGATTGCGTGAATGCTTATAAATGATTGTTGGTTTTTTTTTCAGTGTATCTGTCACGTGCAAATGCTGTGGAAGAAAGCTCAGAAATCTCCTACTACTTGCTTTTTGTTTTCCATGTGCAATATGTATATATATATGATTCTATCAAGAGTACGATGTTGTTTGAAAGTCAAAGGTTTCTGTTGAGAGATAAAACTTGCTGTGTGTTTGTAAAGACATTCTGCGACCGAATGTTTGTGATAACTTTCTCAGTCCAACGTGTTGGTGATGACCAAGTGTATTCATTCCTCAACATTGTGATATGATGGGTTTTGTGTTTGCGACGTCCCAGGTTGATGTAGATGGTTTGTGAAACATAGGGGAATTTGCCACCAAAGTTTTTTAAATTTGATTTGTATATATTATGTGTACGGTGAATCTTCTCTTCTGCTAACTCAAGATTTGAAGTGTTTGCCAGTCACACAAAGAGGTATATGCTATGGAAGTGTAAATCTGTGCTGATGTGAGAATATATATGTTTTCAAATAAAATATAAAATTATTAATACATTGCCTCGTTAACTTCATTACCTTTGAAATGTTTGTGTGTTTACATATCTGTCTTACGTCATTCAATTAATCTGCAGCCAGATGGATTGTGCTCTGTCGTCATTTTTAAAAGTTTTTGGAGGGTTGGGGTTTTCTTTGTAGTTTTACATGGGAACCTAAAAAACTGAATATTCTTATCAAGAAAAAATACTCTTTGCAAAATCCCAAATCAATATTTTTAGAATACACTTTTGATAATGACTTCCTTATTATCTTTAAAGCAAGAGTTGTTTTCTTGGTAACAACATTCAGTTTTTTGGCTCTCCTGCAAAATGGTAAAAACTGCATAAATACTGTACTTTAAAAAAAATGACAGCAGTGCTGGCGACACAATAACTCAGTCCACAACCATCATAAGAAGCAAAGCAACCAGTCTAGCTGAAGAATGTCACCTTCACAGGAGCTGATCAGTTGTTTTAAACTTACCAGTTACCAATACAGAAAGAAAATACTATTACTAATAACTAAACTGCTGAAGAAATAAAAACCATCACGAGTACATTAGACATGATAATAGTTTATTATTGCATTTATATCAATTCTTGACCCAACCCAACCCAAAACATTTCACTTTAAACAATCTTCTTCTTGAATCTGTCTAGAGCGGATGCCTTCTCTCCTTTCCTCTTTGCGTTCTGGGCATCAAACTTGCCCTCCGCCTGCTTGGCTCGAACAATCTCCCTGACCTTAGCCCTCATGTTCTCCTCCTGAACACCCTTCAGACGCTTCTGCACCTTGGATGCCTTGCTGCCTCCCTTCATCTTGTGGCGCGGCGTGAAGTCAATTTTGTCTGGCTTCAGGTACTGTAGAAATAAACAGTGAATGATTTAGTCAGGATCATTTCTATCATCAGTTGGCAATTTAGAATTTGAGTTGAAAGCAGATTCCCTGTGTGATGCCAGGCAAGATGATTGAGATTGGTGGAAATACCTGGCTGATGGTTGACGAGCACAACTCTTGGATCCTACTTCTTTTCTCTTCCTCTGTTTACCTTGTTTTTACTTTTTTTCCCTGCACTAATTGGACATTATTTGTAAATGTACTCTGCACTCAAATTTTAAAAAAATGTTCAGGGAATAGAGTAGAGAGCAGTCAATATGTGGCACTGGCCAGCCTCTAATAGCTTGTAACAAGAAATCAATGGAAGAAAACTCAAAAATGTCACCTAAGGTTGAGCACTTATGCCAAAAGCACCTCTCCTTCACTGATATAAGTACACGCGACATCTCTCTTTCATTAGTTTATATATTTAGACCTGCATGTGAGCCTCAACCAGATTGTCTGAAAATTTTGCGCAACCCCCCCCCCCCCATAAAGAGCTTTTGTGGGTGTCATAAGGAAGGACTTCCGAGTAACGAGCGACCACCCCAACAAACACAATAAAGAAGAGACCTAACCCTAACCCTAGGCCTACCCCCAAAAAAACCTGCAACGGGCCTCATGTAAAAAGGCCAGCACAAGTCCAAAATGAAAAATTTTTTTAAATTTAAAAACCACACTCCAAAACAAACAAGGAGCAAAATAAGGCCTAGATTCTACATCTAAATTGCTATAATTGCCAATTATTGGGTTTGATACAATAACACAATAGAATTGGAATATGAATCCTCCATATAGATCTAGTAATCTAAATAAATCTAGATCTAGATCTTGTACAACAAATGAATAGGAATAGGTCTTGAACTAGAAATCCGCATCCGATTCCGAACAGAGGTACTCAGCTGAGTCTAAATTCTGAATAAATAAATAATTCACGCACCTGATGAAATGCTTTTTACCAACATTAATATTACAGCACAACCTATGATAGAGTTTGACACAATAGAATTGGAATTTGAATCCTCCATTGAGGTCTCTATAATGATCTATATAGATCTAGATTCTATTAGAACAAGTGAGTCGGACTTGAATGAATCCACACGATCTGAACAATTGAATTAGTCAACAAATGAAATTCAAAATGCCCCTCGTGCACGAAATTGAAAGTAGATAATTTAGGTTGTCGTCCTTTTTTGTATTCGCATTTCTACTCAGGTTCCGATAATTATGTCAGAAACGCCGACGTCGGCACGAAACGAAAGTGCCGACAAAGCCGACGGGAGAAAAAGGGGATGCTAGCAGTCGGCCAGGCCTCACACTACGCACATTGACTGATACAGGTGGGCCTAGCGATAGCATCGGCCGGCTCGCGGGTCGGGTCGCGATTGTCGGATTTCAGACGATTGTCGGCAAACATGCAGGTCTATATATTCACTGGTTTATAACAAGTCAACATGATGTGAAGCCCATATATATCTCCTTCACTAAGACACTCTGTTACCACGGGAGGCTTACCTTCTTCTTGTTCCTCTCCTCTTGAAGTTCTTTTGCTGTTTGTAAGTCCACTTTTCCAATTTCACTGTCCAGTGTGATCATCTCAGGATGGACCTGGGACATGAGACAAACACAGAAGTTGAAAGTATGTTATGACAGACAAAAATGTCCAATCCCAGTTTTTTGTCAAACAGACATGGTTTACAGTATTCTGAGATTCAAGGCAGGTGGTTGGAGGGTATCACTGGTAGGTCCGACTTGTATTTCCTGTCTGTATATCTTGTTTTTCCTTACACAAATTGCTTTTGCTGTGTGGACGTGCTTCTCTTTACTCAAACTAAACAGATTTAGGTGGTGTTACAATACAATAGCCATCACTGATGAATTTCTAAATAGACTGTTGGCAACATAGATCACTACAAGCAAAGATTTATCAAGTCTTGTCTAGAGTGATCATGTGACCCACCAATGTCCAATCAAAGCTATCTGGACAAAAAGTACCCTGGTGCAATTAATGACTTACCATGCAAGAGTAGTGAGCATTCTATATTTTTTCCAAAAGTCAATACCCAGTGGTTTTAAATTATTGAATGGAATAAATCATTACAGGAAACAAATGTTTGCTTGTGTTTTAGTTGGTAACACAGTGTATTTGTATATAATATTTATGCACGACTCTGCGTTGAGTGTTCATTCTTCATTATATTTTGTGGGTTTGTCCATGAAGGTATCCAGTGTGTTGTCTTTAAAAGCGTGTACATTGTACAGTGTTTGCTGATGAATGTGTGATGCATGTTCATTCACAACTGCAGCGTGTTTGTTCATCAATATGTGTTGTGTGTTTCTACATGAATGTATGTTGAGTATTTATCCGCGAATATGAGTTTGTTTGTCTGTTCATCATCAATGATCAATACATACCTTATCCAGCAACATGCGGACTTCTGTCTGTTTCCTCTGAGCCTTGGACTGGAATGGGTTAGCCTCCAGGGCATCATAGTTGGCCTCTCCGGCACCTGGAAGAGAGACAAATCAGAGTTACATTCCCACACATGAAACAGACACACAGGAAAATGTACAACACATAAGTCTACATATCTCCCTCTCTGCACAAATACTGTATTCATCCCGGTTTGGTCCTAAAGGCAGGGTTGGGAGCCCACCTCCTAAATGATCTAAACTGTGTCAATGGGGGAGTAAAAACACCTACATTTTTTTTAAATACATGTGATGGCACAAGTACACCCTTCTCATCATTCTCAAAATCATTACTGATAACAACACTTGTTGCCAATCTCCTGACATTTTTAAGTATTCGATATTTCATGTGACATCTCCATCTTGTCTAGATAACAAGTTACCAGGGTTTATGCAACACAGAGCAATAATTTGTCTTGAAAAAATAAGGAACTATCCACGCCTGCAACTACAGGTGGATTATTTTGAGCCTTCGTGTGCATTAACATCATGACGAAATTGTGTTTATGTGTGTCTTCACTTTCCACAACACAAGCTGACTCACAAAGCCCACTAGTTCTATCTAAGACCAGCGTCTGTGGTGTAGTGGTAAGGTGCTTCGCTGTCGCACATAGGAGACCTGAGTTTGATTCCTGGGGAGAAATGTTTTATCCAAAATCTCGGTCTTTCTGCCAGGATGCTTCTTCTATCTCAGCCACAGTTGGCCCTTGAAGGCAGGATCGGACGCCAACATCCTAAATGATCTAAATTGTGTCCATGGAGGCACAAAAACACCTACATTTTTAAAAAAAAGGTTATATCTCTGCCCATACCTGGCACAACAATGCTGGAGAAACCCCAGCTATGGCCCAAGCCCAGCACGTCCTCGTAGGGGCAGAAGGCCACGTCTGTGATGAGTCTCTCGCACCGGTGGTAGAGGTACGGCTTCTCCGGCCGCTCCGACAGTGTGGCCATGTCTCGGTACAACTGAGGGCACAATGGGAAAAACCAAGAAAAAAGTATGAGAGACATGCTGCTATTTGAATTGAAGACTCGGTGGCTAACAAAATTACTTTTTTTTGTAGCAAATGGAAACAAATTGATGTTTCCTTTAGGGATAAATTAATTTTTCAATATTGGGGAAAAATGGTGGGAGTGGAAAGGGAAATCAAATTCATAACAATATGTATCCTTTTGGGAGAAAATGCAGAACAGTACAACTTACAGCAAGGAAAACCTCCATGGCTGGTCACAAGACAAAATAACTAAAAAGGCCTAGTTTGTATTGAGTACTTAGTTAATCAGTGCCAGCCAAACAACAACCAAAAAAAAAAGAAAAAAAGATGGTGATGGATTGGACACACACTTAGGAAGCCAGCTCAAAATCTGACAAGACAAACCCAAAGATGGAATTCCCAAAGGGAGGAGGAAGAGAGGAAGACCAAGATCCTTCCGGAAGCCACACCTGGAGGCAGCTCTCAGACATATGGGACACAGCTAGCTGGAGGTGGAGAAGATCATCCAGAACAGAGACAGGTGGAAAGTTCTTCTTAGTGGCCTATACCCAATACCAGGATGAAAGAGGCGAATGATGATGATGAGTTAATAGAGGACATAATAGAAAGTCCTGACCTCCACTGGCCTATATCAGAATAAAAGAGGCAGACGACGATGAGTTAATTGTTAAAGTACACAATAGCAAGCCTTTACCTCCACTACGTTATCCCGACTGACGGCCAGGAGACCCTTCTGACTGAAGTCCAGCAGGCCCGGGCACTGTTTCCTATTGTACTGGTAGCGACTCAGCTCTCGGTACATGCGCAGGTCAAACACCTTCAGACGTCTGTCCATGCTTGTGGTGGCCATGAACCTGTGCACAGACAGGACGGGAAGGGAAGGGGGCATGGGAGGTCAGAGGGGACATCACAGAAATAACAAGCAGCTTAGCAATAACATGTGAGTACTACCATAATCCATTCTTAAGCACAAGGTAAGCAGTTGGTAAGGCTGCGGCCACATCTTAAAAGTGAAGAAGACAAGACACAGGTCTTGAATTTTATCTTTCTAGCCTGAGGCATGAAGCTATCTACCTGTTGAACCTTAACCACTCATCTAAATATTTGAAGGGTGAGAAAAAAGAAAACCTTTGCATTTCATCCTTTAACTTAAGGTCTGAAACACTTGCTATTTCCTCTTAGACTTTGACCATTACTCAGCACAAGCACCTATTACTGCATCTTAAACCACCTTGCAGTGTTGAAAGGCGTGTAAAACCCATATCACTCATACATCCAACAACATCCCATCCCCATACTGTGAGACATTCCACTCACCGTCCTGTAGCATCAACAGCCACATCACGGAGCACGCTGGCATGACACAGCATTTTCCCGGCCGGCTCCTTCATGTTGGGCGTCCACATGGTCACAGTGCCTGAAACATCAAACAGTTCTCAAAGTTGACAACACAGAACTGATGTGCTAGATCTGGAACAATTCTGGCCAAGTCAAGGAGCCTATAATCCTTCTTCACTCTGATTTTTACAGTGTCAAATGGAACTGGAAAATTTCATTACCCTTTATTAGGACTCAATTTATTTTTACATTACAAGCACACACACTTTTTAAGAGCTTTTAATCCACAAAAATTTGTTTCATTAATGAACAAGCCATGGAAAGTACAGTAAACCCCCCACCCCTCATAGTTTATCGCGTCCTATCAAGTTAGATGGATATCAACAATTACTTTATCATGTCTGAAATAAGACAGGACCTGAAACTCAATTAATATCCATATTCGTTTTTCAAAATGTACAAACCATTGGCGTGACCAAGATGGACAATAGCAGACTGAGGGTTGACCGTCATGATGTCCAGACGACCTTGTTTGGTAGCGATCCCCGAGATTTCCTTGCCAATGGACACGTCCAGGTAGGACAGATATCCTTTGGCACTCTGAACAAGACAACACAGCAATCATGAGTTTTAAACTTGGGTTTATAAAATTACTTATTTTGGCTAGTCTTACTAAACAACAATGAAGAATGACTTCCCCAGCCAACATGTTACGAAAACTATGATAGTACAACGACAAGGAAGGACTTCCAAAACAGCTTTGCCGTATTACTAAAATGAGGCAGGATTATTGTTTTTTACAAGACATGGCTAAATTACAACAAAAAAAACGACAGCGTGACCATATTATAATTATGTGACATGGCTAATGTTCTTGTCAAAAAGTGACAACAATGAGAAATGACTGGTGAAACTATTGGCATATACAGGGTTCCTGCCATGAACTCCCCACCAAATTCAAGGAGATTTCAAGGAGAAATTTATAAAATTCAAGCAGATTTGGTCAAGAAATTAATGCCACTTTTGATGGTGCACTCGCACTCCAAAAGTCTATTTCCGATAGGCCTACTACACCTTTTCGAAATGGAATAGTAGTTTTGATTGTCCGACAAAAATTTTTGTTCATGTCCGATCCGGCGAAATTCAAACAGTTTTCAAGAAGATTTTTCCTTGAATGCAAATTCAAGGAGTTTTCCAGGACACCTTGAATTCAAAAAGGCCGCAGGAACCCTGCATATATTCACAACAAAGTGTCGTAAGATAAAAGGGACAAGCAAGGCTTTCAAACAGCCACGTCCTCCCATTAGCAAACTCCACCAGCTACACCCCAAAACCTGCAGGAAAGGCACTCTACTTTCCCACCATCAAGACAACAGGGATGAGAGTACAGCACTGAAGTAGTTTCCCTTTGGTACCAAACTGAGCCAATATCTCAAGCCATTGACTTGTCTTTAATCATCACAGTACCAGCAATTGTTAATCATATCATGTGTAAACACTCCTTTCAATACTGCGTATTCATATCAGAGATGTGATCGCTGAATACAATGTCCATCTCTAATGGAACTGATCCAAATGATCGAACAGCCTTGAAAAAAACCCCAAAAATTCAAATTCATTGGGGATTCGAACAAAGATCATCCTAAGCATAGCCTAGAATGATACCAACTCAGCTAATGGCCAACCTACAATACTGCAAAACATAAAGATCATAAAATATAGGAGTGACATGCCAGATAAAGCAAGAAGAGAAAGGAGAAAAGGGGACAAAAAACAAAATTCTCTACTTACAGAAGAACACAGAAGAAAGTGGTAGGGCAAAAACTCCAAGCGTAACACAGAGTCCAGATGCTTGAGACAGTGGAGTTCTATCCCCTGGTTATCGTAGCAGTAGGTCCATTTTTTCTGGGCCACGGCAAACATGGTTTCCTGGTGTAGCCATCTGTGGGGGAACAGAACATTTGGCATTTGGCTCAGAGTCTTAGCTGAACAAGAGAAAAACAGGTTTGTTATGGCTTTTTGTTTTAAATAGAGTTTTACTGCACCAGCAACACAACTAGGTCATATAAGTGCCGATGATTATGGAGGTGTTACAAGAGAGTAACAAACGTAGAGAAGAAGGAGCAATAAGGAAGATAGACGCTTGATAGGAAAGAAGAAGCAAACCACACCAGAGCACCCGCCAACCCCTCTCAACCAGACTTTCTTTCAATCCTTCAGTGTGTGGACAGCCCCCTCAAGACAGAGTTTGTCCCAGTTTCAATGACAACCAGTAGAGCTCATGACAACAGATGGTTTACTGGAACAAGTCCCTGTCTGTGCCAAGTTGGCAACCTAGACCACCCCCATTTCCCAATTGAAAAGCGTGAAGATAAATTGTGTCAAGTTGCAACCTCAGAATTATAACGCTCTATCAGCCCAATCCTAGTTTTCAGAAATATGACGTCAAATTAAGTTTCACCACGCTTTTTTTAATGCAACTCTTTGAATATGTTGACAACGACTAAATATTCTTACGATTTTGATAGAGAATTTGCTTTCTAACCTCATGGTCTTTGTAACTCAAAATGGCCCAAACTGTCAGATTAAACTTTGTAATTCTGAGGTAGCAAAGTGTTATCCCCAATGACAATAAATTCGAACTTTAATTTCAAAGAAATAAGACCTATGACCTTTAGAATCCAAGATTGACTGCTAGACCACAAAAGTGACATTTGTAGCCTCCATGCTTATTGACCCAGGCTGTAAAACCTAGGTTCTTTAGAAGCATGACACAGGCAGTTTCATCTTGCATTGGCTTATCTTGAGGCAGAACTGGTCAACTGCTCAAGGTTCAAAACAATGCTTTCAATACACTTTTAAGGAACACAACAACAAATTGTAATATGATCCAGTTGCTTGGTCCTTAGTATATAAATGAGCTTCCTCGCGATTAAGTTGGCAACCTAAACCACATCCATTTCCTTGCAGATACCAGTTCCCCACTGGACAGAGTGAAGATAAAACTGTACGCTTCCCAGAAAGCCAAAAATGTTTTTGAGTGTTCTAGGGTCTGCTGGGGTAGTAATAATAATAAATAGCATTTATGCTGCGCATTTCCATTATCGAACAAATGCTCAATGCGCTTTACTGTTCATTACATTTTTTTTTTTTAATCACACCTTAAAAATTAATGGACATACGTTTACATAAAACATAATATTATGCATAATATGCAAGTGTATAAAAATTTATATGACAAAAATGGTCACGCAGTGAGCCTGGCCTGGCAATGCATTCGCTAAAAAATATAGAAAGCAATAAAATTATAATAATAGTTGCAAAGCCCTAAAAGCACGCTGTAGAGCATGAATATGCACTATATAATGCAATTATTATTTTTATTATTATTATAAAATGTGTCCATTGTTATCCCAAGGATGAAGAACCCTATTTGAACCCTAGGCTTGTAGAAATAGTATGCACAATCTCTAGACCCCAAGCCCAGAATACTAACTGCTAGACAACCAAAGTGACATTTGTAGCCTCCATGCTTATTGACCCAGGCTGTAAAACCTAGGTTCTTTAGAAGCATGAGACAGGCAGTATCATCTTGCATTGGCTTATCTTGAGGCAGAACTGGTCAACTGCTCAAGGTTCAAAACAATGCTTTCAATAAACTTTTAATAAACACAACAACAAATTGTAATACTATCAAGCTCTTTGATCCCTAACATATAATAGTCACCCTCATTATCATTATTAAGCTCTTAATTTCTTAATTCCAACCAATTGCGACTTACTTGACGTCATTGACAGTCTCCATCACGTTGATTTCACAGTGAAGTTTTTTGCTCTGCCAGTCAAAGGCTGCGACATGACCTTTGGCCCCGCCCAGTAGGAGGTGCCTGGGGAGAGTTAAAAGATCAAACATCACCACCAGACAACCAATATGTAACAAACATCATCCCAAGATTATTTCTATAAGATTTGAACACAAAATAACAGTGATGTATATCATTTCCATTTCTTACAGTACTAATACTTGGGTTTTTCTGCTTCCCTCAATCTATCTTTGTGGGTCAATGCGAGTATGCATGTGGGGGGGTCGGGAGGTGTTTACAAGCATTGGAGCATGTACGATTGGCACGTGCATGAGAATTTTAAAGGAAAAATATTAATGTTGTTGTTTTAAAGGCAGTTGCCCATGAGTGAATGTTCCAAAATGTATGAATCCGTACTACATCAGCATTAACAAAACACTGCACAGAGTTCCAAGTCACATCTGTGTGCAGCACAAGTGGTAGATTGCCAGGCACAAAGGATTGTTGGCTATTTTTACAGTGAAACTACTCACCCCAACCACCTCCCATTCCATTACATTTCTAGAACCACAGCCTACCTTCCATTCCGTGTGTAATCCATTCTGTAGGGGCCAAATTGATCTAAACGCAGGTCAAATATTTTCTGTTGTGTAGCTTCGTCAGCCGATGCCTTGATCTCATGCTGACTGATCTGAAATGTGTTCTCACCCTCCAATTCTCTGAAATAAAGGGGGAAAAAACCAGTATGAAATACCAACACAGTTCAACCCCAAAAATAATGTAAGAAGTCTAATGAAAAAAAAAAAGGAACCCAACCTCTGATTAACACATGGGTAATGACCAAACTAAAAGGAAAACACAAAACATCGAGCACCAACCCCGCTTCCTCAGTGCACAGCAGCTCACTCCTCGCTGATTTCTCAGCAACTGTCTCAAACACTTCCTCCTGGGCTTGAATCTTTTGAGTGTGGAATTTTGTCTTAGCATAGCCCTGGGGAACAAAAAAAAAAAGCTAGATAAAAAAGAGATAGCAGAAAATAGAATGCATTCAATTAGTTTGTAGTATAACTCTGAAAAGAAAACCATAGCCAGCTGTAGCATGGATCCAGATCGAAAAGGAACAAAATACACAGAACATCCCTACAAGGTTAATGATAACAAAATGACTTTTTCAAAAGGAATACTTGTAGTTATTTCACTAACACAACCAAAAGATCAGAACACACTGACAGTCATTAAACTTAATTTAACATTCCAGCTATCACAAAAGACAACAACTATTACAGACTATGTAAAAAGCAGCTAACATTAAGAAGAGCAGCAGTATTCTGCACCACTTAAGGGGAGGAGCGACCCTTGATTTTGCAGAGTTTGGGTCAGGCTATGCACATTTTATCTTGGCTGATTTTTGAAGATCAACTAGTTTTTCGTCTAAAAATAGCATGGAAACAATTGAGAAAGACTTTATTCTCCAGGTAAATTGCCTTTAAAAACATGAGGATGGATTAATATAGTGAATTTATACCATTATTGTTGGTTTTCGCAAAATTTAATTTTTTTTCAGATTTTTCCCTCCTCCTCCCTTAGTTTTCATCCTTTTGACATGAAACTGTCAGGAAACACAGATGCCATCAATGTAACAGAGAGATATTTGCGAAAAAATTAATACTTTTCCATTGGCAAGCGATTGCGCAACCTAAATTTAGAAAAAGTTTTTTTATACTTGGGAAAATTCTCTTTTTTTTTCTTTTGCACTTTTTGAAAAAAAACTTGCTGTTAGTCTGATAGGGTCTGGTTCAGGTATACTCTCACCAGATTTGGTCAAATTTGGTCAGTAAATAAGAAAGCCTTAGGTATTTGAAATTCATAGTTTATTTCCAAGATGGCGGCTGTTTCCAGAGCAACCGCTGTAGCAATGCAAAAATAAAATTGTGGATCAAGAGATTTTACTATGTCTAACTTATATGTGTACTTAGATTTGATCTCGGGCAACAAACATACAAAATGGTCCTCAAGGGTAGCTCCTCCCGTTAACTCACCTCAGCCTTTTCTCCCTTCTGCCATTTCTTCAGCTTGTGCTTCGGGACCGCCTGCTCCTCTATTCTTTCCTGCCAATTTGAGAACAACATTAAACGAGGGTATAAAACAGAGGGTGATGATTTTAATTTCCTTAGGGGGCTAATCATCATGCTGAATTATCAAAATCAAAACATCTTGACAAATCTTTACTTCGAGAAAAATTAAGCAAAGACAGCAGAAAACTTGTCAACATGAACCATCAACAGTGTTGCAGGTTCGTGTACATCATGCAGTATCTCTTTTTATGACTGTTCACAAATCACAGGGGAAAGGAAGCAGAGTACAATATCAGACTACAAAAAATGTGAGGAAAAGCATAATTTCATTGAAGAGAAAAATAATACCTTCAGTATCACACATGTCACAAACGATAGCATAATGGGAATGGTCCTATTTTATCCAAAACTAAAATTGCAGATCCTACTTTTGGCCTCACCACAAACAAAATACACATCTAACACCACTATTCACATCCTACAAATTACACTATAGTAGACTTTGACAGTAGTCGGCAGTACCCTTTTAAAGAAGAGGAGAGTGTTGAATTGGTATTTCTTCAAAAAGAAATAACAAATGAACGCAAAAAGTTAAATTACATTTTTTCCTACTGAACGTGACAATTCAATGATATTTACCAGATCTGAAAATACTATGCAGCTAGGTAAGAAGAGAAACAACAAAATACAATTTTCACAACAGACCTGCTTACTAGTCCAGCATTTTTATAGGGTAGTAGATACCACGGATGACAACAAACGAAGGAACACAAATTTAATGATATGAAAACAAATATACTCACATTTGGCCGTCGAGAAAAGCTGAATTTGGCTCCCCCATTTTTGTCTGGCTCTTTAGGGAAAAAATACCTCACCTTCCCCTGCGGAAAAAACAATGATTATATTGATATTTTGAAAATGTTAAAATTTCAAATCTATAAGTATCATCCTTCTTCAAACAGTGACAGCATTTACATCCTTGTAATATAAAAAAATAAGACGTGCACACCTGGAAGAAACTTATTCAGACCTACCATTATCTTCAAAATTCTTTTTACATTGTGCAGTATATATGTTTTATTGCCTATTTGAATGTTGAGTTTCACTATGGTGGTGAATAATAAGGTCACAATGATTTCTTTTAAGTAGGCTCAAAAGAATAATTAGGTCTTTACAAAAAATTGCACCTCCCCTCAAACCACAGATACAGGGTGCATGAAAATAGAACCAAATAATAACTAATTCACAGGCAAGAGAAAGAGGCTAAAACAGCACCTAGACATGGATAGCTGGTGCCTCTATAAATAAATTATGGCTGGCTCTATTTTTCAGAACGTTCGGGAAAATAAACTCCAACTCTCTTTCTCCAAACGGTTTCCGTTCTCGAGATTTGTTGATGATAAGCGAATGGAGTGGCCTGTGTGTGTGTGTGTGTTTGTGTGTGAGTGTGTGTGTGAGAGTGTGCATGTGTGAGTGAGTGAGCGCGTGTGTGTGTGTGTGTGTGTGTGTGTGTGCTGCTCTATACCCCCAGGAAACCCGCCCCCGCCTCACCCCCCCTGCCGTGCAAATGACTACGGGTGTGTATAAGGTGTGGCCGGGGGGGGGGGGGGGGAGATTTTTTTTTTACATGTAGGATTTTAGTTTTTGCTGGGTGACTAAATGCAAAATAGGTTACTGCTAAAGGTCGATCAGTCTTGTTTTCTCGCAGTACCTTTCGAAGGTATTTTCAAATGAAGTATAGTCCGGGAACGTTGCCCCAACCACAAGTGAAGTATCTGAATATTCAGACATTTAAAAATCTCTAGCTCTAGAAACTGAATTCAAGGCAAAAAATGCTTCTTCCCAGTCCTCGCAGAATGGCAGAATGAAAGGATGACGCCTAAATCTCGCAAATAACCAAAAAATCTCGAGATCGGAAACCGTTCGAAGAAATAAAGTTCAACTTTATTTTCCCTAACGTTCGGAGAAATAGTCACTTCGATAAATTATTGATGGTCAGGCCAGATGCACCTCCCCTCAACATCCAATTCTAATGAAACAACAGAAAGGACGATAAATTTGTAATTTTAAACAGACACGCAGATTGTTTTGGGGGCTAAAAACTAAAAACTGTCATAATTTTTGCTGCAGAATACACAAAAGGCCACTAAAACCTTTGTAAATCAAATGTTTTCAAGAAAATATCAAACTTAATTGCCGAGGTGAAATACAGGTGGGGCACGCCCCCCTGAAACCCCCCATGTTTTTAAAAACAAAGTCAATTATTACTAGGTCATTGGTCCTATTTTTATTGTGATAGAGTTCGTTTAAAAATGTCAATAGGCTTATCTAATTTAAATCAACTAATAATTTGCAATGGATATAAAGAAAGTCAAAATTTGTGTCAGATAAAAAATTACGAAGTGACTATTCGGACTCAAGTCCGAATATGAAAAAATGTTATTCGGACTCTGATTCTTGTCTAGCATAACATCGCTTCCGACTTCCTGTGACTCATGACTCCGGCTTCCTGTCCTGCCTCACTCGTGACTCGTCTCAGGCTGGGTAGAGACCGGGATCACTTCGGGCAAAATGGCGTTTTGTGCAGGAGCCAAGTTTTTATCTTATGAATTTGAGGCCGGCCTGAAAAGTTATAGCGCTTCTAATAAATGTTTATTTGTCAAGAGGTCACCAAAAGCAATTAAAGATGGCTCGTTAGCGTGTGTCGGGGTCGGATGGGCGGCCTGCACACGTGTGGATCTACGTAATGAATTTTGCGCTGGTCTATGGAATCAAAAGTTGCCGTATGCTCGGCTCTACACAGCAACACAACTTTTTCTTGGTAAACAATCGAGATGACACAGGCTTGTGTATTTGAACGAATAACGTAAGTGCTGAATGTGCGGTCCACCAAAAATTAGCATACTACGACTAATTCAGAAAACTGGGAACCTGCTGGTCCATCCTCCACTTCTGGTCTCCCTCCGCTGCCTCCCCCTCAAAAGAAAAGAAGCAAAAATAAGCCTACGACATGTAATCAAGAAAATCAGGAACCTGCTGGTCAATACTCCACTTCTGGTCTCCCTCCACTGCCTCCCCCTAAAAAGAAACAGCGGATGGGATCAAGTAATACTAATATAATACTAATAATAGTGAGAACCCTGCGTCTGTTCCTGCGGTAAACGTCCTCATCCGATGCCTAGATATTCCGGACTTAGATCTCTTCAATGATTCGGATAAAAGGTTCATCAACAACTTTGTCTCGTCCCCCCTTCTCTCTCTCTATCTCTCTCTCTCGTGGTATTCTCGCAGCCCTCACTCACTCCGCCTCACGTCGCCGGGAACTAGTTCGCGTCGCGGTCGATTAGGACCCATGACTGTATAAGTATAAGTCCGTTATTTGCCTAGTGTGCATTAATATATATATAAACATGGTGGGTCCACCAAAGTTCAATCCAGCCCCTATGATCTTTGTCGTTGCGCCATGAGGGGGAAAAATTTAGGAAATGGTTGGCTGATTTCCATCCTTCTTTTGAAACACCCTGTACGAATATAACTTCATAGTATTCACACATCCTGTGCGAATATAACTTCATAGTATTCACACACCCTGTGCGAATATAATTTCATAATATTTGCACACCCTGTGCGAATAAAATTTCATAGTATTCGCACACCCTGTGCAAATAAAATTTCATAGTGTTCACACACCCTGTGCCAATAACTTATAACTATATGCAGCCTTTGGAGTTGGAGGAATCAATAATACTTAGACAATTTGAAGAAAAGAACAATGTCATAATTTCAATCGAGCAGTCACCCTCTCTATTTCTCTGTCTCTCTCTCCCCTTTTTTGCTCCCTGCCTCTACCTCTCCCCTCTTTTTCTGCCCCCCACCCCTCTCTCTCTTTCAGTGTATCGCTTGCCTTCTCTTTCTCTTTGTTTGTCTCTGTCTTTCTTTCTCCCCCACTTACTTTTCCACTCTTTCTCTCGTTCCCTCCTGCCGACTGGGGCATGTGATATTTGCTAGCACTTCCCCCTGTTCTCTACCCCCTCCTCTCTCTCTCTCTCTCTCTCTCTCTCTCTCACACACACACACACACACTCTTTTTCTCTCTCTTTCTCTCTCTCTCTCTCTACCGGGTCTGGGCGTTGAAACTTTCCGATATCACAAAAGATTTCCCTTACAGGGTCTGTATACTTTGTGACGTTGCTCCCGGTAACCGGGTCTGTATATACAGAATATACTTTGGTTTCAAATATAAATTATAGCATGGGAGCTATTCAGAACGCGGCGTTGCAAATGGCCACCTCTATTCTCACCCAGAGTGAGAATAGTGCAGGCGAGTCTTGTGGCTATTCTCACCCGGTGCGCGTTCACCAAATTTTGCATTCACCCTAAACCACAGAATTCTACACTGTGATAACAGAAAAATTGTAGAATTCTGTGCCGTGAACAAACGTTCCATTACAACTGTAGCCTACTAAAAGCGTACAATTTTGTCTGTGGGCAGTGGAGAGAGAGAGAGAAAGAGAGAGAAGAGAAGCGCGAGAATTTCCGGGCAAAACAAAATGGCGACCCGCGCAGTTCGGCTCGATTCGAAAAGTTAAATAGCCGTAGCATCTTTGTAGACAACCAAATTAATTTACTTTTGTGTTTTAACATCATTTTTTAACTTTGTTTTGGTCAATTTGATCGTCCACACCGATAGACAGTATTCAGAAAGAGACAGAGAGAGAGAGAAGAGGGGAGGAGTTGATCTTGCGAGAACTTCCGGGCGGGTGAGAATAGCCACTTTCGTTGCAAATAGCGCCTGCCTATTACTATTATATAACAATAACAGAAAACCCCCCGGCGATTTTGTAGTTTCGTTCGTTAAAGTCAAGCAGGGGGGTTTCAGGGGGGCTTGCCCCCCTGAATTTTATCCTAATTTGATGTTTTGCAGTTAGGTTGCATCCCTGCTCTTTGTGTAGCCTAATTCAAATAGTATTTGGTCTTCAAGACTTCTGGATTTCTTCTCTGGATGTAAACAAATGGATCGTGGACTTTAACGAACGGAACTACAAGATCACCAAAAACCCAACTCTAACAATGAGCAAAACGGATCATGATCATCAGCCTATGTGAATGTGGACGATTAATCAATCCATAACCATCGAGACGATCATCATCACAGAACTTACACTACGACTACGCCGGTGCCGGTAGACAATACGTCGTGTACCGAGATTACACCGTGCCGTAGGCGTCGGCCTACACTTTGCAACGAATCGGCATTTTTCACTTAAAACTTTACGGACGACGGCTTGATTCTTTTAAAATCAATGTATTCTTGAAGAATTCCTACCTTTCCTCCTTTCTGTACATTGTCAGAAGAGGCCATTATGCCTTCTTGTTTGTTTTGATGCACAATTGTACACTCGCCTAATCCAGCGTGTACCTTCACTTCAACACTCAAGAACACAATCGAAGCCAGGTGGAGTTTGCCGTTGGAGTTATTTCCCTTCCGTGACGGTGTAAGGCCACATTTAGCTACTTCTTTTGTTATTGTTACGGCGTACCAATGGGCGTGCTGCGTGCAGTGCCACGAAGAGAGTGAGGAGGGTCCTTGGAGTAACTATATACTCCAAGGGAGGGTCCATAATTATTGTTGTAGGGTCCTTGTGGTGTACTCAAAGTTGGGTTTACTTACGTGTATCGACCTCTTCAAATGGGATTAATCCTTGCTCATATCATATGTATAACTAAAGATGGATGGATAGATATATGGATATTGCGACAATATACATACAATACATGTACTTAATCGGTCAATTTTACTGCATAGATCTAGATCATATATAATAATACATGGAACGTCAAATGTCTTGTACTATCATCGATAAATTAACACTTAATCTGAGTTTCTACAGTTAGTAGTTAACGTGTTTAGAATCAGGGAGATGGTTTGGAATGAAGAAAGCCATGTCACAAATAGATGTACGAAATTGGCCCCAGAAGAGATCTACTGTATAACTTGTACACGCAGTCTAAAGACCATTTAGTTTATTTTATTACAAACTTATAGCATGTTTATGAGCAAAAGAAAAAGCACTTCGTAATTCATTCTCGAAGAATTAGTGTCATTTCATCAACATAATTACAAGCTGTATTTTCTTTCTTTCTTCCTTTCTTTCTTTCTTTCTTTCTTTCTTTCTTTCTTTCTTTCTAGGCGTTAATGTCTGTCCATTGTGGGATGTAGCTCTCTTTTTGTCCATCTGTTATCTTTCACTCAACTGATGTGAACAGCCCGTTTCCATTTTTTGTCTGATTATAAATCTTGGGGACATAATAAGCCACCCATGTTTTCACTTTGTGCTTGCTTTTGTGCTTTATTTCATCTTGTATTCTTATATCCAGCATCTCCCATTCCCCCCCCCTCTCTCTCTCTCCTTCTCTTTTCTCTCTCTCTCTCTATTTCTCCCTCTCTCCTTTTGTCTTTCTCTTCTCTCTCTCTTTCTATTTTCTCTCTCTCTCTCTTTCTCTCTCTCCTTCTCTCTCTCTCTTCTCTCTCTCTCTCTCTCTCTCTCTCTCTCTCTCTCTCTCGTGTCCTTAATTCCATTATCATACACTAGTCCCCCTCTCTCTCTCTCTCTCTCTCTCTCTCTCTCTCTCTCTCTCTCTCTCGTGTCCTTAATTTCATTATCATACACTAGTAAAAGTACACGTTCTACGAACGGAATAATAGTGAAGAAGTATTAGGAAAGTTAAGAAGAGGAAAAAGACTGAAAACAAGAAAGAAATTAAACATAAATATTTTACCTTGAATATATCCATGTAGCACCACCTTTTGACTACCTCTAGGTGTGAGACTTCTTCCCCCTCTTCGAAGGCATGGCATTTTCTCCTAAAGTTCCAGCTCAATCACTTTCTCTCTCTCTCTCTCTCTCTCTCTCTCTCTCTCTCTCTCTCTCTCTCTCTCTCTCTCTCTCTCTCTCTCTCTCTCACACACACACACACACACACACACACACACACACACACACACACACTCTCTCTCTCTCTCTCTCTCTCTCTCTCTCTCTCTCTCTCTCTCTCTCTCTCTCTCTATCGCTGTCTCTCTCACACTGCTCAGGGTAGGGTAACAAACGAAAAAGTCCCCACTTTGTAACATGTATTACTACTTGATTCTTCTTCCCCTTCTTTTTCTTCTTGGTCTCCCCCACCACCTCCTCCTCTAATTCCTCCTGCTCCTCCTCCTGCCGCCGCCACCTCCTGCTTCTCCTTCTCCATCTTCTTAATCATCATCTCCTCCTCCTCCTGTTCCTCCTTCTCCTTCTTTTTCTTCTTCTTCTTCTTCTTCTTCTTCTTCTTCTTCTTCTTCTTCTTCTTCTTCATTTCTCCTCCTCCTCCATCTACACCTCCTCCTCCTCCTTCTATGAGCGCTCCAAACCCGCTGTGAGAAGATGGTCAAAGGTGTGGGACCGAAACCGGGAATTCCCGTAAACCTACTTAAATACTTAATGTATAACCAATGAGTCTATATGTATAACTGAACACAAAATATCCTTTGGTGCAGTCGGTACTCCGCAATGAATATACAATGTTGAAGCAAATGATGGCGATCGCTATAAAAGGACTGAATTTAACTTAAAATGGGCTTTCTTCTTTCACATATGATCTTAATTAAAAAACAATAGTGCAACACTACGTTTCAAGTTATGGGTACTGGCAAAGTTTCATATTTTTTAATTCGGTAGTTTCTGAGAATATACTGTTCGCAAAATTTGGCCTTAGCTCCATTAGTAGTAAGATGTATTTCTGGTAACTGGCCAGGCTTGACATCAATAGATTGTTACTAGGACAAAACACTGATTGAAAACGCATCTTTTAGTTTTAGATATCGGCAGATTTTGATGTAACTTTTTCTCCGTAGGCTTACATGTATGTATCTCCCAAAGCAACTCGAGCCACATGTATCATTCTGAGCCAGCATCATACACTAAACAAAAACACGATCTTGCATATAATTTGTATGTTATTACATGCGCTTTAGGTTTATATACGAAGAAAACAGAAAGGAGAAATATGTATGAATAAATAAGCTGTACTTCTGATAGGGTCCTCAATTCACAGTACAAATGTACCGTCGACTGACCAAAATCCAAGTTGTCATTGAGTTAATTGTTCACTTTTTCCGTTCAAAGTGTTACAGCATCGTCGAATCTCAGATCTTTCAAAGCTGTATTTTAAGTCTTGCATACATCTATGGATTGATTGTTTATGTGGTTGGTCATTCATCACTAGGAGTTCCCACGGCATGCGAAAAGTCCACTGCACAACTTATCATTTTATAGTAGGCATACAGATAGCCGCCCGTGGGGGTGGGTGTTGGGGGGGGGGGGGGGGGGGTTGCACGACGATTTGAAGACTCAAGACGGGATAGGTGGGGTGAGGGTTTGTCTTTGGGCATGGCATGGAACGTTCATCATCTTTCAAGCTTGATCTGTCCGCTCACCGTGTAAGAACTGTGCTGTTAATTAGTATGTGCTGGTTGTCATGTTTTGAACAGGTACCCTACAGCTACATTATATGTTTTGTTTGGTTAAGGTCTGGTGATCCGGAAGGCCAATTTTTCCTTTGGTTTTTTAAAATTCTTTTTCTAAATAATTTTAATGATTTCTTTTTATGGGAGGGGGGGGGGGAGGGCGCTAATATGATTTTTTTTCAAAGATAGGAGAGTGTTTTACAGCGCTCGCAACTGCAAGCCTAACGTCATAATGACTAGCGCGCGGAACACATTGAAGATTTTCAGTTCGGTAGGAATGTTGCATTTTGCCCAGGTGGCCGCCAAAGCCTACTCTTATACTTATTATGTCGATTTTAGAACTACCATGGGATCTTTAGCGTGCGTGATTTGCACAAGGGACCTCTGATATGTTTCACCCTTATCCGAGAAGGCTAGGTGTTAGATCCTACATACCATAAAATCAGGAGCTGAAAAACTGCAGTAAGAACCAAGAAGTAGCAGTAGATCAGGCTGCAGATCAAGCCAGGAGCCCAGAGGAGGAGGCAAACAGTACAGACGAAAGCAGACATATGACATAGAGCAGGAAAGGAGATGAAAGGTAAATTTTTAGAGAAAAAAATTTCTGTCACTGTCAGGTTTCGAACCCGGGACCTGTTGAATGAGAAGCAAACACCGCTATAAACCATGATGGCCCCATTTGTAAATTGGTGAAATGCTGAAAGACAAAAGTAAAGGTCTACCTTTGTAAATTACAACGGGTAGTCTACCAGTCATTTCGTCAGCAAGGGGCCAACGTGGGCTTCTTTAAAGTAAAACCTCATTTTGATGTATTTTCTTACCAAGTCTCGCAGTCTCTTAAAAAAACCCCACATTTCTGTTGCTTCTATGTCATTTTCAGTCTTTTGTGATTATATATGGCAAGTAATAGTCAATAGAGTATTTAAAAGTGTGGTAGCAACAGCAAACATCATTAGAAATGAAAAATTATATTTGCATATTTGGCAAGGTCTGCTTATCCATCTTTTCTTTTAGCACAGCAGTTTCTACTAATCCTTTCTCTTGATCCACAACAAAGATCAACAACGGTCTCTGAGTGCTTGAGTATATTGCACGACGATGGTGTACTTGTAACCAACTATAGTAATAGTACTAGACTGTTAGAATACGGGGCACCCCACATACTAAGTATTCTCATGTACCAGACTTTTTAGTTTTAGTACATGTAAGAGTTTTACGGCACTTGCAACACAATAAGGTCGTATAAGTGCCGAAGATTAGAGGTGTTATAAGAGAGTAATAACAAACACAAAAAAGGAGGGGAGATAAAGACGATAGATGTTTGAATTTTGATAGGAAAGAAGAAGAAAACCACAACAGAGCACTCGCCAATCACCAACATGTACCAATCTGTCTGACTGCAATAACATTGCTCGTACATTCTGGACAGCTGCTCCATTACCCATCCCAGTTTAAATTCTGTTTTAGCTTTAGTAGAGGTTTTATCGTGCTCGCAGCTGCATAAGATCATATGAACGCCAGAAAATTAGAGGTTTCACAAGAGAGTAAAAAGTAAAGTTGTTCTCGCATCCGATCCGGACATTGGGGATTGCCTTGTTAGTGAGACGATTTCCTGAGCCATTAGCATATTGTGGTAGGGTGGCCAGTTCCTTTCCATGCCGCCTTTACTAAAAAGTTTACTTCCCCAACTCGAAGTCAGGTACCCATTACTGCTAGGTGGGCAGGAGGGGGCGAAAAAAATCTGTGTCCGAACCGAGGCTAGAACCTGGACTTTCCGCTTTGGAGATGAGCGCACTAACCGCTCTGCCACCACACCCTCCGGAGAGTAACAAAGATAAAAAAGAAGAAGGGGAGATACGGATGATAGATGTTTGATAGGAAAGAAAGAGCAAACCCCACCAGAGCACCCGCCAACCACACACTTTAATTTCTGTGCACTAGTTTACCATAATATTATATCCTACACACAATGTAATATTATTTCAAAAGCAGGATTTGAACCGAGAAGCCCACCGATAAAGTAACAGTCATTTAGTGCAGGGAAAAATGCAACACAGAGAGACAGAAACAACAGATGGAAAGGAAAGATGTAGGATTTACCAGTAGCGACCTCTAACCACCTGAAGAGTTGCAAAATGACACAGATATCAAATTCACATACTAGGTAAGAAAAGGTTATCTCGAGTTGGCTAAAATTTTAAAAAAACAAACAAATTGCAGTGTAATGTTTATTCGTTTTTTTTGTGTGTGCAAAACATCAGTTTGATTTTTGCAAGGGAAGATTATTTTAAAATTTTTTATTATCATCTGTCCTTCTCCAGGGTTGCCGCAACCGACTCAAAAACTAGTAAACAAATACAAAAGGATGCCACACCCTCAAATCACACACACACATCCACTGAGGATTGGCAACGTGAAAAGAGAACACCAACAGACTTAACAAGAGTCAAGATCATTGGTCAGAGGAATATATTTATTTAATGAAAAACAGTACAGCAGTGAACAGTAACAGTGTACAAGAATGAAAAAAACAAAGGATAACAATGAACATACGAATACATTTTATGATGGAGGACCATGTGATGCAGGAACATGTCAGTCACAAGGCATAACATTATAATGTCAGCCAAAAGTCACACCACACAGGCAATATTGCCAACAGAGGTAAGTAATTTTTGACAACTTTTGAGGTATGGTACGTCTGTATGCAATACTGCTTGCGATTATTGTTTGAGTTTGTTTGCTAATGCTAGTGTGGAACTGTCAAGTCACCAATGTCTAACATTTCAACTTATCACTTTGTCTGACAAGATAAATCATGCCACACTACTCTAACCAAACAAGTCTGTTAAACCAGCCATGTCAGGCAGCCATACACATGCCAGTATGCCCATCTGACCACACAAGACATTATCAGGCAGCCATTAGTCATGCCAGTCACTCAAAACATCCACACTAGGTGCCAGTGGCTTAGTGGTTACGCTACCGGACTCGTAATTGTGAGGTTGCGGGTTCAGGGGTTCTAGCCGCGGGCCCGACGCTGTGTCTTTGGGATAGGCGCTTTACATGAATTTTCCCCACTTCAGGCAGGTGAAAATGGGTACCCAGCTATAGACAGTCTTGTCAGTTTGTTAGTGTTTGAGCGCTTGACCAGTTGTTAGCACTGTATGCTTAGCGGCAAGTTGAGAATGTTTCCGAGTGTTTTATGGTCGGGTGGGGTAATAATACAGCGTAAAGCGAATAGAGCTTGCTTTCCAGTGGTGATATGTGCTATACAAATGCTATCTATTATTATTTTTACCTCATTAGTCATGCTAGTCAGTCAAATAGCCCTGCATCAGGTACAAATGACTAATCGACCATGCCAGCCTGTCACTTCTTCCTCACAGTCCTGTCCTTGGTTCACCCGTGCAACTCACAACTAAGCACTAAAACACAAGCCTCAGCTTAGGTATTTGTAGAGTTGTAACAGGGAAATAAGGAGGCTCTTTGGTGCTCACACACAGAGAGGAAGGTAGCCTCTCGCGGACAGACGGAGTCAAATGAAACATAATTTAAGGTTAAATTTAACTGAAAATGTCATAATTTTAAAAGATATTAGTTTGGTATCAATATCCCAACGTTCAAGTCCAACAAACTATATAGAAATACTGTTAAGATTGGACAACTTGAACAGAAGTTACAGCTTAAAACTTTTTTTGGCCCAATTTGTTGCAGATTTAAAAATAGATACTGGGATTTCATTCCCAACACAACACAGTGGAGGTATCAAGTAAGACTGTCAAACCAGTCGTGACCAGACAGGGAGAGGGTGATGCGAGTCACACTCTCATTGGCTGCCTCCACAAACCAGGTCGGAGGTCGGGAACCTGACTTCTTGTGCACTTCCTCCAGCTCTGCCGCCACGGCTTGCAGTTTTTCCAGAATGTTCTGATAACCTGGCTTGTGAGGGACGGAATCTAATGCCTGTGGAGGAATAAAAGACTCACTGATGGGGACTGTCAGGCTCATGAATAAAACTACTGAATAAAGTCCACACAAACTATCGTAGTGAAAAACTTTCCCACACTTCACAATCTCTTCACGGTTGACACCCAATTCAAACAACCTGATCAATACGACCTATTATTACAATCTTCACTTTTCATCGATGAAAGTAAACACCGATGATTTGGAGAGTATAACAGCATAGTGGGTTGGTCACACTGAAATCAAATTATAACCACTACAGCTAGGTATCATAGGTCGAATGTACAAGCAGTTGGAAATGCAATAAAACAAGGAGGGCATGTCGATGCAAATTTGACAGCCTCACTTCGTCTTGTGCCGGCCACAAGCAGTCAAATTCCTAATGTTATGGGCACATACAGGTTGCATGTACAAGCAATAGAAGAACAAATGAGAACAAAAGCAACAAAATAAAGAGGAGCAATAAAATAAAAAATTAATAAAAAGGAAAGAAATGAAACAAAAAACAATAGAAGGAAGAAGAGCAATGGAATAAAGATAGATAGCAGTATTGGAATAAGATTGAAGAGCAAAGAACAATAGAATGAAGACGAGGAACGGAATAAAGATAGATAGCAGTATTGGAATAAGAATGACGCGCAATGAAATATTGTATAAACGAAGAGTGGCGAAAAAAGAAGCCGATGACAAATGACATAAAGATAAAGAGCAATGAAATAAAGAAGAAAAGTGATGGCATGAAGTGTGTCAGTCAGCGGCTTACCCCAGGACATGGAGAAGTGTCCACAGGATCAGGACCGCCGGCATCATTATTCTGCGAGGAAATCAAATCAGAAGATTCTTTTCCTCTGTCAGCCGACCGCTGGGAACAAAGCAAAGATAAGATGTTTCACTGTTCTTGAGTGGCAGCAAGCCAAGTGAGTAACCAAAGAATTAAAAATGTAATGTTTAAAAGATTTATTTACAAGAATTGTGAGCCTAGATCCCTCAAACCTAGGTACCAGGGTACGACTTTCAGATTTACAATTTGCACTACTGTATGCTGAGGTCAGTAAATTCACCCCCCCCCATCTAATCCCTTCCAATCATTACTAGACCATGAATCACCTCTAACCAAAGGTCCATAATCTAAAAACAAAAGCAAAGTGGCAATCATAACCAAAATGTTCCGAGTACAGAATTCCCGTTTCTGGATGGCTCACACAATACCAAAACATAGCTCTCTTGATTCATCCATTCCTGACAACCTGTCATCTCCATACTCAGTATCCGTTCACAGCAAGGTGAGCAGAGGAGAATCACTAGAACTACCATCGTCTTTCACTACCGAGAACCTTTCCATCAAACACTAGGCCCCACTAAACACTACAAGATCTTCACCCCATGATCTTTTGATGGTAGAACATAATTAACGATGGACCTTTTCTACTCCGATCTCAACCCCCCCATACACACACACAATCATTCTAGCTAACCTCACGTAAGTCTTTAGCTTCCCCCCGCCTTCCCCCATCTTTCTCTCCAATATTTATTTCAGCTCACCTCATCTGAGTTGGTCACTTCCTCCCCTTCCCTCTTCTGCGAGTCGTCTCTCTCTGCACCGACTGTCTCAATCTCTTCATCCTGTGTCTCAGAGATAACGTCTGCCATCTGCTTGTGTTGCTGAAGCCGTCGGAGGACGTCCACCTCGTCGGAATCTGTTCCAGAAAAATTTCCTGGGGCCTGACGGACACACAAAGATAAGACAAGCAGCTGAACACACCACCTCTCAACTGACCACCCATGTAATGTTTGTGTGTAGTCAGAGCTTGAGTAAACAGTTGGGAAGACAATGTGTTGGAGCCACTTTTTGAGAGTGAAGAAAAAGACAGGATTAAAAATACATGACTCATATAATGCTAGGAAGCACATATATTTGGAAATGAGAAATTTAGCGCAACCTTCAGAGTTCAGAAATAAACAGCGGGTGGTTCGTGGGTGCTCAGGTGTGGTTTGCTTCTTATTTCCCATTAAACATCTTTTGTTGTTATCTTTTCTTCTTTTCTTTGCATGTTACTCTCTTGTAGCACTTCTAATCTTCAACATTTATATGACCTTATTGTATTGCAAGTATGGTAAAACTTATAAAATCCAAACTAAAGAAAAAAAAAAGGAAGGAAAAAAGGAAAAAAAAGAAAAGAAAAAAACTCCACCATATTGCCGACACTGACTGGTTAACAGTACTTGAGTTGACTACCAAAGTAACTATTGTAATAAGAATTTGTCGGTCAAGTCTGCTGGCCAGTGCAGTAGAGCAAAAGGCAAAAGAATTATGATTAATGTCACAAAATACATTTCCAAACATTCACCCCAGAGATAAACTCTCTCCACATCTCCTCCAGTTCCTTGTGTCCTTCGATGCATTCACTGACCACGTGAGCAGTCGTGGGACTGTCGGCAAAATCTGCCAGCGTGTTCAAGCCTCGGTGTCGAACCAACGGGTGGGTGTGGTGAAGGAGGCGGGGCAGAAAGGAGGAAACTCTCTGGAGAACATCAGTCATCTGCTGGGTCAGAGACATCGGGATAACAGCAATATGAAAACTAAACAGAACATTTTGTAGTGTGAGGTGTGCAGCACTATATCATATTCTCGGAAAAAACCAAACTTAAGAGAAAACTATAAAGTATCCATTACCCAAATCAGTATTGATCAAATGCGAGATCATTAATGTATAAGTCACTTTGTTGGCCCAATAGCCCAATCAATTCCCCTAAGAAGCCTGGCTTAGAAAAATCCACAATGTAAAAAGATTCATACCTGTGCACTTGTCCTAAAATTTGTTTTAGCGACAGCCGATAGGAGCAATGTCAGGGACAAGCAGATGTCCGGCAAAGCCTTCTTGGTGACAAACTGACCGGACACGTCCAGTACCTGTTGGCAGAGGGTCAAGGTCAGCCAGGTGGAGGTACAGTGTGGAGAGCAGCAAAGGTGAACTGACTACATCACAGCCAACACTCACTTACAGTGGAAAGCATATGATTACAGTAAACTGATACTCTCATCTTACTCTGTGTTTGCACTTTCTCTCACAATAATTCTTCATTGCTCTTTGACCAGATTTTTAAAGTATAAAATCACCTCACTGACAGAATCTGCGCTTCAAACAGGAAAAATTAGCCATAAAACAACCTGCATGATGACAACCTTGAGATCATCTTATGCTAAATTGACCGTCTGCATAGACGAAAAGAGCCATACAACTTCACATCCACATTTCATTTTGAAGAGATGTCACATTGACCTTGGTCCCTCTAATATGCTTAAAATCATCTTGGCCTTATATCCTAGTTTCCTGATTTTACAGCACTGGGAAACTTTTTTAAAAACCTTCACAAAAAGGTCACTAGTATTGGGAGGAGGCGGGGAGTTTGTGAAAAAGCTGATGATAATATGCGTGAAAGTAAATACTTTAAGAGGACATGAAAAAAGGTATAGAAAAAGAGGGTGGGGTGGGGGTGGGGGGCAGAACCCATACCCTGATCACAGCGTCGGTGTCCAACGATGACACCACACTGGCCGTGAGCTCAAGCAGTCTAGCAATGTGCGGGGGACGTGATAGTCTCTCCGAGGTAACGATCTTCTCTAGATGAGACCACATGTTGAGTACAGCCTCGGTCAGATCTGTCTGCTGCTGCACAGACATGTACTGGGGACTGGCCGGAGACCAGGTGGACCCCAGGGTTGTGAACATGGTCAATGCTGTGAGCTGACGAAGAGATAATGTGTTGTTTGTTTTCGTACAAGATACTTGCAATACAAAGGTCACATTAGTGCCGAAAATTAGAGGTGACACTAGAGAGTAATACACAAAGAAAAAAGGAGGAGGAGAAAAAGAGAAGATAGACGTTTGATTGGAAAGCAAGAGCAGATAGCACCAGAGCACCTACCAACTACTCACATAATATGTGTAGTGTGGGAGGTTAGAGAGAGAACAAAGGGTCATATGCATCTTGTTATCTATAACAAACAAAAAAATTGGAGCTAATTAGCACAGAACTGTAAGTTACAGGCACTTTTTTGAGCATCTTATACTTTGAAGCCTTGCCAAATCTAGACGCCTTGTGCTTTCAGAGGGCTTTTTTCCGATAATTATTCAAAATGGAATGTTAACAATTGTATTCACTTGACCCGTAATGATTTCCCAGCCCCTCTAGCCAGCAAAATTTCAGGGGTCAACCTTGTTTAAAATGCTGACAGTGTGTGAGGCAGTCTGTTTTTAAGATAATCCTTGACAGAGTTCTGCTAGTTTAAAGTCACAGACTGTGCCATAGGCAAACACACACATATATGACAGTTTTTCATATATATATGAAAAACTGTCAGGGCCACTCACCACATTCGACACCTTCCCCCGTGTTGCGGTCAGCACACCCAGGCCCCAGCTGACCAGCTGCCGACCCACAATCGAGGCAACATCAGCGTTCAGACCACTGCTCAGAAGATGTGTCCACAGGCCAGGGTGGGTAGTGGGAGGGTATTCCTTGACCAGGGCAGCCTGATGTGCGGGAGAGAAGAAGGGGGGTGGGGGTGTTTGTTTTAGTAAGAGTTTAATGGCACTTGCAACACAATTAGGTCATATAAATGCCTAAGATTGGAGGCGCTACAGGAGAGTAACAAACACAATAATAATAATAACAATAAATAGTATTTTTGCTGGGCACTTTCATTTCCTACAAAAATGCTCAATGCGCATTACAAGGTGAGATAAGGAAGATAGATGTTTCACAGAGGAGAAGGAGTAAACCACATCAGAGCACCCGACAACCACCCATAGGAAAACGCAGGATGAACATTCATTAAACGTTATGGAGACCATCACATCATCCACTCAAATGTACCTGATCTTTGGGAGACATGAACTTGAGCAGTCGCTGCAACAAAGTCTCCAGTCTGGACACCAGAGATTGGGCTTGTCTCCCCTTCTGTTGCTTCAGCCTGGTGCGGGCGGACAACAGGGCAACCACCTGCTCCTTACACACGGACGCTGTGCCGTATCTGAGGGAAATATGGAGGCATTAGAAACATAACAACTGCAAAAACTACAAAAACTTTGCTCCAACTATATAAAGTTCACTAAAACCACACAAATTTCTTTAAAATAGAAACTTAGGACAAAGTGCAAAAATCTTTACTCAAACAACAAAAAGTCTTGCACAAATTCTATATTGTTCCGTCTGGCACAGGGTTTACATTCCAGGGGCTAAGGAGCTACAAGGACATAGTCAGGAACCAGTCACTTTTCATGAGCTGACGTTCCAGCGGGTTGAAAATGATGGAGATTGTAGTTTGTGTAGAGAGAAGCACATCAACACGTCAACAGTCATTTAGTGCAGGAAAAAAAGCAATGTAGACAGACAGAAACACCAGAAGGAAAGGAAAGAAGTAGGATCTTAGTTAGTTTAGTTTAGTAAAGAGTTTTACGGCACTTGCAACACAATAAGGTCATATAAGTGCCGAAGATTAGAGGTGTTACAAGAGAGTAACAACAAACGTAAAAAAGAAGGAGGAGAGATAAGGACGATAGATGTTTAAGAGGAAAGAAGGAGCAAACCACACCAGAGCACCCGCCAACCACCCACGAAGTAGGATCTAGTGGTGATATCTCCAACCACAAGCCATTAAGACAGAAAGCTCAGAGAATTCAACCCCAGTTTCGACAGAAGTATGTTACAGATAGGCTTCGGAAAAAGACAACCAGACCAAGTGGATAAAAAGCACGTACCTGACCAAAAAACACCAGCAGTCTACGGCCAGTAAGTAGGTCACACTGTCTCCGTGCAGAACGTAGCCCATCAGAGTCTCCTCCTGGTGGGGCAGGAAGGGAAGGGGGATAACCAATGGCCATTTTTATTCGTTGCATCATTGCTACTAAATTTCTTTTGGCCATCTAAAAATACATTCTGTTTGGTCTATTCCACTAAAATAGACTAATAAACTTGGAGAACAACTTTTCGACAGAATGGTCCATTCCAATAAAATAGACTAATAAATTTGAAGAACAATTATTTTATTTTCATAATATTCACTTATCATGAAGTAAAATACTGTAAATCATTCAAACACAGAATACCTCAGCTATAAAAAATATATTTTCCACCTCAAACACATTGTCAACATTTTCCTCAAGTATCAGATGTCTATATAACAAATGTTTCTAAAGCTGAGAGCTAGTCGTTTTGAGGTACAGTGGAGTCTGCTTAAACCAAAATCAACATGACCTCCGCATTTTTTTCACTTTAGCCAAGTTCTTAGTTTAGAGAGATTGCTAATATAGTACTGATTTGTTAATAGTGTAGTGTTGGGAATGCCATGCTTGTGGCAAACTTCACTTTTTGAATGTTTTTTTCCAATCAATCTCTTTCAAAAAAGCAATTTGAGCTGCAGGATGTACAGATTTTGCTTTCTCTTTGACATTGCCGACTTGCCAAACAGCAGCACAGAACAGATGAGAGAGCAGAGAGTAATGCTCTGCGCTAGGCTACAGAAGTGAAAAAGTAGCATCATGAAACACATCACATGCTCATGTGTAGGGCCAAGATTTATGAGAACTAGCTACACAGAGACATCACTATATGTATACATACAGAGATGTCTGTGACAAAGGTAGGGAAACAGTATACTGGCTATGCCTCTCTCTGGCCTGCAATCGACACATATGCGTTCTTGTCTCCTTTTTCTGCTTTGTTATCTTAAAGACTTGATGATTCGCATTACTTGAAGGTTGCAAGAGAAAATTTAGATAACATGACCCTTGAAAGTCTTTTCAGTTTGGAAATAGGGGCATTTTGGCTAATCATAGTCTTCTCACAAAGACAAAAGAAGAAAAAAAAAGTTTTACTGCTGTTTTCGGATGAACCTCATGTGGTGTAAGCAGACTCCACTGTATATATATAGAAATCCTAACAAGGTCGGTATTTTCTTTGACTTAAATTACCAGATGAGAGAAATGGTGGCTGAGGCATGCTCCGATGAACCCACACAGGTGGCAGGCAACGTACTCAAACAGACAGACAGCCCTGTCAGGGAAAATGAGAGCAATTATACAGTGAGTGTGGTTTGGAAGGTTGACAAAAAGAGAAGCACATTGACACAATAGTAGTAGTTATACCTTGCTAGGGGAAAAAGTTAGATAGATAGAGAGAGAGAGTGAGAGAGAGAGAGGGAAAGAGGGAGAGAGAGAGAGAGAGAGGGAGAGAGAGAAAGAGAGAGAAAGAGAGAGAGAGAGAGAGAGAGAGAGAGAGAGAGAGAGAGAGAGCGAGAAAGAGAGAGAGAGAGCAAAGAAGGACAAACCAGTACCACTCTCCAACCACCCACAATGTACAGAGTAACAGGTGATGTACTCAAACAGATAAAGAGAGCTGTGATAGAAGAACAAAGATATGCATAAAGTGACAATAGGGGTGGGTAAACAGGAAAACATAAGAGAATAATTTCACAAATTGTCAAAGGTCCGGACAGAAATTACAAAACTAGAGCATTAACAAAAACTCACAGGACCTCATGCATGATTTTCATGTCACATTTTCGAACAAAATTCTCAAAAAAGACTTCTAATACTGATTAAAATTAAAACATTAAAAAAAATACTAAACCAGAATATCAAACATGACTCTCAAATCAGTACATGTATAGGAAATTTTAAAAAGAGTTTCTAAGTTCATTTTGTACAATCCCTTAGCCCAAGTCTACTCAAGACTTCTATAAAACACATAAGTTGACCTTCTGACTGACCTCTGCGGTTTTTAGTTTAGTTTTAGTAAGAGTTTTACGGCACTTGCAACACAATAAATGCCGAAGATAAGAAATGTTACAAACGAGTAACAAACATAACAAAGGAGGAGAGACAAAGAAGATAGTTGTTTGACAGGAAAGAAGGAGCGAACCACACCAGATCACCCGCCAACCACCCACCTCTGTGGTTTGCCAGTGACCATGACCCCTGGCAGCATCACAGGGACCCGCATCTCCAGCCAGCCTGTGGACACAGCGGCCAGGCCAGTGAGAAATACATCAACACAACAATATCAAATTAATAGTTGTAAAGCGCATAGAGCTTGGGTATAATGTACTATAGAAAAATAATTATTATTATTTATAATTATCATTATTACATCACAGTGATGCGGAAAGCTAGATATAACAGGTAGAAACAACAGAGGGATAACAAAAAAGTAATAAACCTAATGGTGGCTATGACACATGATGGTAGCTACGACACAAAACAATGTGACACTACATATAGATATGACACATAGTGGTGATAATACATAATTATAACTCAAGACAACGATGAAATTATATAGCGATGACACATTATGGTGACACAACATCATTATGACACATGACAGTGGTGACATAAAACAGAGAAAAACTTCATCTAGCCCAAACACTGAAATTCATATACATGAGAAATTCTACAATAAGTAATTTCGTTTTTTCTTTTACAGGCTAAAATGGCACCAGAAGAAGTGGATACTTAATACTTGATCCTTAGTACTCCCTCTTCTCTCCTTCTTTACTACCCCCCAAAAAACAACAACTACAAAACAAAACAAAAAACAAACCCCAAACATTTTAATGAAATATAATTTAAGAATAAATAAAAAGCTTACAAAGTTTAGCAGACTCTAAGACAGCAGTCAGAAGGCTGACACTACACTGGTCTTTGTTGTGATCTACTGGAGAGAGCCAGAAATCCATCACTTCCACTGGAAAAAGAGAAAGAGATCATGGTGAACACACCAGGCAGTGGGGAGCACAACAAGGGCGTTGTAAAAAACACAACAGGCATTGGTGAAAGCGACAGGTCACGGTGAGTGCAACACACTATGTCGTGCACAACAGATCATATCAAATTTTAACACAATAAGTAGTGGTGAACACAACTGGACATATTTTACAGCATTAGGCACTACAACTTCCCAAGGGGCTTAGAGCTGCAAACTTTCATTGATGTGGCAGCAATGGAGTCTAAAATTTGTGCAGCTATCTTGACTTCACCCGTACTGTAATTCATACACACTGGGATTTGTCTTGAACATTTACAAGTTGCGAATGTCGTGGACAAATGCATAAAGTGCAAAGGTGCATCATAAGCTAGGAATTTCTACCACAGTACCGTACACCGAAACAGCTCGGACCAACAAAGCTCATTACGCATCAAAGTGATCACGGTAACCTAGGTAAACAACAGCTAAATTCTTTGATTTTTAGATTGGCCCTGACGCTGACTTTAGATGAGGGATCTTTAAAAACGCCAAAAAAACTCAAGTTAAAGAATGTCCTGTTAGGGAATCAAACCCAGGTCATCCCCATAATGGTATCACCATCATACCAACTGAGCAGTCTGTGCACCCTAGACAGGCTTAAATGTAGTTTAATACACTTGAACAAGAATATTGTGGCAACAACACGTATGAACACACACACACACAAACACACAAGCACACACACACGTGAACTATACCTTCAGCCTTGGGCAACACATCCAGGACCATCAGCTGAAGTAACAACACTGGCAGGTGGTCGCTTTCCTCACGCCCTAAATACGAGAAAATGCCAAAAATTATCAAGACAGACAACACAATTAGCAAGTCAGAAAAAGCTACTAACAGGTACACTTGGAAAAGCCATCATCTCCCCCTCCTCTTTCCCCCATCCAAACATAAAAGAGAAATACAAATACAACAAAGTTTACAACACAAGACACCCCACTGACTCTCTCAGAAAAAAAAATGCTTCGTAATAACCCAGAGGAAAAAAAAAAATCAGTCTTAGACATAAATCAATAGAAAATGAAGGGATTTTCTTTAAAAGAGACAGGCCTGTCCTCACCCTCATTGTTCTGCACCAGAGCAGACCGAAACGGTTTACTGGTCAGCAAGTGTTTGATGATAGGACTGGTGGCACTGACCACCTGGACACGCAGCTCCGATTCTTGTTTCTCTGACAGCTGACCGGCGGTCAGGCTAGGGGGCAAACATCTGAGAACAAAGCGGACACAGGAACAGATTACTTTATTTGATAGAGAAACTTAGAATTCATTGAAGCCAGAACAAAGAAAAAGGGAAAATGAATTAATGAAATAAGACAAGAAATGAGAATTTCAGATGTTATACACAACATTCTTTGCCATGAATTAAAATCTCTTTGTAGTTTCAAAATTTAAATCCCTACTGAAATGAAAATGCTTAATGTGTCTCACGCGCTTATATGATCTATGCAGTAGCAAGTGCCGTAAAACACTTACAAAAGCAAAAAATGTCCCTGTCCTGCAAGATGCTCTAAACAGAGGGTTAGGGAGGAGAATGACAGAAAATTCGAAAGTTGTGTACACAGTGCCACCCTATTCCTATTGTGCTACAGTTCTATCATCTGACAGCACTGGCGGTCAACTAAAACTCTATTTCCTGCCTCTGATTTATGAATGAACACATGGAGGTTTTGTTCCTACAAAAGAACTCTTATTCCTCTTTAAATCTATGCCAACATCTCATTTGAGAAATTTAAATGTTATCTTTGTATAGGTACAGAGTACCTTCCCAATGTTCTCAAAAGGCAAAAAAAACAGAACTACTAGACATCAGGACAAACCTCACACAAGATGCAACAGAACTAACTGACCTAAAATCATAAACATTAAGAAATCTAGACATCAGAATCAAACGGATATGTCTTCCAGGAACATTAGAACTCTTTCCATACTGACTCACCTGAGTGAAGAAAAAAGGATTGAATAAATTTTCCAGGAAAAACAGAACCCATAGCAACTCACCGAAGTAAGAAGATCAAGAGTGACAAGACTTCCTCCTCACAGCTACCCAGATAGAGGGCAAAGTCTCTCAGCAGGGCCACCAACACTTTCATCTGGAAACTCACAATCTTCACAGCCTTGCTGAACGCCTTGTCATCTCCCTGACTCTGGAAATAAATAACAGATGCAACAAGAACAACATTCCATCGGTAAAACTTTCACTCCTTGCAACAGCCCCAGTGTTCTCTTTGGAAGGATTACCATGTTTTTCTTGAGGATACACTCACTTGTACCTGAGCCATCAGCATTGTTTGACATTAATCATGAGCTTGTGGTCACTAGCCACTTGAATACTAGAGCCCCAAAAGAAAGACTGACAAAAAAACAGGTCTTTACAGGAAATTTAATTCTTCTCTTGTTCCCTGACCGTAATGTTCAGAAACTTCCTAAACAAGAAAAAAAAGTTTTAAAAATGTAGCTGCAAGACAGAAATAGTAAACCCTGTTTAGTCTAATATGGTGTAAAGCGCATAGAGCCTGCTGTTGAGCGGGGATATGCGCTATAAAAATGCTATTTATTATTATTATTAGTCTGCCTTAGTTTTAGTTTGAGTAAAAATAGGCACATCTACATTCAAGCCATTCAGGGCTGTGAAAAACCAAGGCTGATTGATATAAAAAGTTGGTGGAAAGAAAAGAATTTGAACATATCAGTAGCACCCTCTGCAATTACAACATAAATAAGTCAAATAAGTGCCGAAGAGTAGAGGTGTTACTAGAGAGTAATGTACAAAAACAAGAAAAAGGAGAGATAAGGACAACAGATATTTGATAGGAAAAGAGGGGAGAGCCACACTAGAACACACACCAATCACCCACGGAACCCTCTAACCCCCACACTACAGACACAATCAAAAGACTTGTCAGTTGCATGAGATACTCCACCACACCAACAACATAACCAACAAAGGCAAAAAATCATTGCGCTGGTTCCATTGTGGATATGTTCACTGACCAGTGAGTCCGGGTCTGGAGGGTGGCACAGCTGGAACAGGTAGTCATAGCCCGACCGGATCTCCCCGCACAGGAAGCAGATCATGGGACATACGTCCAGGCGGTCACGCAGCAGATTCAACTGTTGACTGCACACTCTGAATGAGAAACATGATTAATCATTTAGCTTTAGTAAGAAGAGTTTTACAGCACTTGCAATACAATATGGTCATACTAGAGCCAAAGACTAGAGTTTAGTGTTAGAAAGAGTTTTATGGCACTTGCAGCATCACAATAAGGTCATATAAGGGCCGAAGATTAGAGGTGTTACAAGAGAGTAACAAACACAAAAAAGGAGGACCAAAGCACACGTCAACCACCCATTATCATTTACAATTTTTAAAAAGTTTGAGTAAAGACAAGCACATTGACACAATTATTGCCATTTTGAGCAGGGCAAAAGCATGATCGATCGAAGCAACAGCAGAAAAAAAAGTAGGATTTACTAGCTGCTCCTTCCAACCATCCACAGACAAAACTTATTGAGCATAACCAAAAAAAAATCCCACAATAAAGTAAAAATTTTCAATTGGGAATCAAAAGACAGAAAACAGTCCATAAAGTAATCCAGAAAATGAGTATAAAAAAAATCAAACTGTCTCACAGACCTTGATATTGCCCTCCACAGACCAATGGCCAGCTTCACGTCCAGAGAGCTGACCACCGAACACACATCAAACAGGCCAAGACACACTGGGGAACAAACACATCATTGGCGGTGAATGTCAAGACACAGAGGTGGTAGGTAGGTAGGCAGGTAGGTAGGTAGGTAGGTAGGTAGGTAGGTAGATAGGTAGGAAAGTAGGTAGGTAGCTAAATAGATTGCTAGTTTTTTCTGGGTTTTTAAAAACTGAATGCGGCCATTGGCTTTGTCATCACATAAAACATACATATTTGATGGAAGAGACTTCTGTCAAAAAACAGTTTTGTTTGTTTGTTTGGCTTGAGTAAAGAGGAGCACATGGACACAATAATAGTCATTTAGTGCTGGGAAAAAGCGAGTCAGACAGACAAACACAACAGAGGGAAAGTGGTCCCCTCCAACCACCCGCTGTGAAAACGGCATAAATTATAAATGACATACATATTTAGAACATTTTAAAATAGTTTTGTGTTGTTAAACAGTATCCATAATAAAACAGTACAGGTAAGACATAGTCGTTACATTGTAGAGAAAGTCACAAAGCTGAGGGAAGTCACACAATGGTGGCCATGACAATCATTTTACAATACAAGATATAACAGCTCAGAGCCGGAAGACCTGATATTGTATAAAATATTCCCCACCTGAAGTCAGAAGCTGCACATGGTCTTCAAGAGGAGGTCCCGACCTATGCAGCTTGTCCAGGGCACTCAAATAGGCCTGATGATTTAGACAAGAAAAATTGTCAAATGAGGGACATGAAAGAATCTATGGTATATTTAGCTCTTGATATCAATAAGGGACTGGTTGTAAGATGTAACCCCCCTCTCCTAAGACCAACTAAAATTAGACTTGGTTGCTGCTTGAGTCCCCATTAGAGAGAAACACAGTTAACCAAATATTGATTTGATCAAACAATGAATTTGTGAAAACTGCTGCTCAACTTCAGGAAAACCCCCCACAGCTTTGAGGGATTTAAAAACGTTTTGAGACCAACTCTAAACATATCAACAAAAACCAAAACAGGCTTTTCACTGTGTTGTGAAATATACAGATTTCAGACCGACTTTTAAAACACACCAGTCAATTAAGACATTTGAACGCTTGTTAGTATTAGTTTGAGTAAGAGTTTCACTGCACGTCATTTAAGTGCCGAAGATTAGAGGTGTTACTAGAGAGTAACATACAAAGAAAAGAAGGAGGAGACATAAGGACAACAGATGTTTAATAGGCAAAAAGGAGTAAACCACACCAGAGCACCTGCCAACCACCGACATTTGAACACTTGGTGGGGGAGACAAACATTCCAAGGTTTTTACCCTTGAACCCAAGTCAGTAGTGTCTGTAATAAGATGAAAAGTGTATGTTTTGTACTAAGAGAGTGCCCACCATTTGCAAGGAATGAGCTTGCTTGAAGACAGCCGTGAGAGATTCTGACAGATGCTCCAACAGGTCACCATACAAGTCTGTGCTCTCCTGAGAATTCAGAATACAGGCTTGGGTATAGTCAGTGACAAAGGAACTCTGACTTCAATAAGTAAAAGATAATCATGAACACCTCATCACTCCTGTTATGATAGAAATATAAATAAAAAACCCAGCTCTTTGGTAAAGCATACTGCCCATTTCACTTCAAACTTACCAGTTCAAAACTAGAAAGAGATCAGAATGCCTGCCAGCTTCTTGGCCAATCAGTGATGGTATTGGTTTAACCACTCCCCCCCCAACACTGTAAGAACCTTCAACAGGTGGGATTTCTGAATTTAACTTACATCTTCAGTAAGACCAAGCCAAAGAGGTGAAGAACCTTGAAAACTCAACACCCATCCCCAATTTAAGGACACTCCATTGGGATTTCGATAATGGCATTCTGTGCTTGGCCATTGCACAATTATAGTATCAACTACATAGAGTTTGTTTGCTTCTCTTGACATCCAAAATAATGTAGTAAGAGGTCATAGGTCAGGTTTTCCCACAAAGGGGGATGGAGGTAGTTCAGATATGCATCTCTTCCTTGTAATGGGTGGGTCCAATGGCAATTGATATCATTTCGAAGGTAAAGATCAATAGTAAATGAAGTCATTTTGGGGTAACAACCACGAGTGAATGAAGTTATTTTGAAGGTTGTGATCAAAGGTAAATGAGGTTATTTTAGGGGGCAATGATCAGTGATGAATGAGGTTATCTTTTGAATTCGACAAGAGAGGTGATTATCTTAAATTACACACAAATATGTCCAGACTGAAAAAATAATTCAGACTCTCAAACAATAAACAATAAAAAAGGTGAAAAAGTACACACTGGAACTATCAACAGGTGCGTAGTCTTTACGTCTTTGAACTGGAGATGTTCGCAGGTAAATGACAAAATATACAATATCAAAGTAAAGCACCTCCTACGCCACCCTTCATACACAGACGTGGCAGAATGTGTGACTCCTGTTGAGAGAAAGCTCTATGGCAGTCTCTCACATTTGAAGCGGACTGCAGAGTTTGTGGGCGAAATCGGACTGACAGTCTAGCTGCTGTCATCGAGAACAAGGAAGAAGAAGAAGAAAAAATGATCCCCAAAGGGAAATCTGATCTACAATGACAAATGAAATACATAAATGCAACAAATCATCAACCTCACGGAATATACACAATATTATACCAATACAGACAATCTTACAAACATGTCACTTGGCTCTCATATAACCGTATGCAGTTGTGAGCGCCGTAAAACCCTCTACTATAAAAAAACAACAACATAAAACATGTCACTGCTGGTTGCCATTCTGCAGGCCCTGTAACAGACATCTATATATGAATCACATATACCTTTGTCTACCTTACAGGGATCTATAACTCTAAGGAAATATTGACACGGATTATATCACAAGGCAGACCTTACCTTACAGTGGGTATAAGACTTCTTCAGCACATGGATGGTGCATGTGAGCAGGGAGCGCACATGATCTAGTTCCAGGACCGGGCTCACATCCACCATGTGACGCACACATGTCTCGATACACTGACCAATGTCAATCAACCACTGGGGACAAGGCAAAGATAGAAATGAGGGGAAATTTCCCAAAATAAAACTGCACTGAAGCCATACTTTTCAACATAAGTGTAAAGTAAAACGGAACTTTGATATTTGATGACACAGATTTTCTACTTCTTCCTCACTCTTCACATATCGACGACAAAGATTCTCACAGATGCAGCGATCGGTTGAAGTGATTGTCTTTTCACAAGCGGAACATACATTCTTACAACAAGCAGGGTCTCATTTGCTACAAGATGCTTAAGTTTCTATAAGATGAAAAGACATGTCCCTGGTTTGTAGTTCAGGGCGAGTTGAAAAGATAATAGTAAATTTAATTCATAAAGGATTATAATTACAGAAACACTAAACAGAAGACGGACCCTCTACCAATTATCAATAGATAAGGACATTAACTTTAAAGAGGAGAAGCTGTCAATAATGACATGCGGATAGAACAGTTTGCATGATGCAGAACTACTGAGTTGGTGGTGGACATAGTTCAAATCACCAGTAGAGTGTTCTTGACTTTGGAGAATTTTCAAGGCTCTCAACCACTGGGCTTGGTCCTATCAAAGATGGGGGTCCTGCCCTCTTAAAGTCTTTACAGCACCGATAGGAGAGTTAAACCAGTATCATATCATATATATAAGCAAGACAACTCTGTGTCCAAAAAAAAAGAAAAAAAAAAGTCAGCGCAGTGCAGAATTCACACCACACAGGACCAGTAGCGAGTCACCTTGTGTGGCTTCTACATATATCATCATGCATCACGAGAGGACTCACCTGTACACATTCCATGAGCACTTCCCGCACTTCTTCTGCTGTGTTCTTTAATGCACCCTTCATGTTCAGCTGGATCTTGTTCAATGAGCTATCCATCAATTCTGAAGCCTGAGGAAATTGCAACTTTTGTTAGTTGGTTCAAAGAAAAGAGTTTTTCTTGAGTGTTCTTGACTAAAGGCATAATCAAAGTAATTGGTGCAATGAAGGTCACATTTCACATCACGAAGAGTGAAGAACATTTCTACAATGCAAGGCCTTTAGGGAAACATAACCAGTCCTTAGTTGCATGACTTGGGCAAACCCAAAAATTGAAAGACTAAATCTTGGCTTTTTATTTGAAAACATGAGTGCCACAGGTTAGCAAAGTTGTAGAAGTATAAAGTATAAAATTTACACAAATATAATTATCATCAATCATAAAAGTTACAAAAATTTTCAAAGATTTTACTGTGTTTTACCTTTTGGTGCATTTTGGTAGCATTATTCGTAGTGTGCAGTACTCCTTTTGGGAGGGTTACACCCAGCTCTTGTGACACTGAATAGTCAGTAGTCACCCCAATTTGAGACAGTCAGTTAGACCCCCCCCCCTCCCCGCAAAGGGGTAACAGTTACAGATGTAACCCTGCAATTTGGGATGTCCCCTGAGACACTGGATGGTTAGTGGGTACACCTGTTTGAACAAGTCTCTGGTCTTACCACATGGCACATATGAGCAAACAGTCGATCTTCTAACTCTTCTGTTGGAACACAAGGGAGGAACAGCTGGCATATCAACTTCAGCATCTCTGGAGATACCAAATATGAATACATACATTCCTTTATGACTATCTTATGGAAAAACATTAATGATTAAATCACCCAGATCATCATTACTTTATGTAACAAAAAGAATGTTATTCAGTCTTTTGAGAGAAACATATCCAAATTTACATGCACCACATGGCTTTATTTAATCAAGACTCCAAAGAGTAAACTATTATGAAGTTCAAGTCATCTCCTATCTGTTCAGCGATGTCAACCTGGAACTTAGAGCAATTAAAAAAGGCAGTGGTTAGAAAGTCCTCTGTTCACCCAGTCTGGCTGTATCTCTGGCCTTGTTCACATCAAAGGTTAACCCAATAATCACTGAGTCAGCTTGCCTCTGAAGAGTACAGTCAGGTCAATAGTCAACCCCATATACTCACAGGCTCTGACTTAACAAACATAATTTGTAAACTATTTGCAAATGTCAGTCTAATACTCACTGATGCTGTCAGCAATGTATGCCGAGTCTTCCAAATTTGCCTGAGATCAGTAAAGGAACACAATTTTTGTAACTGTTCTGTAAGAACATTAGTGGACAATTTAACATATTCAGACCATCCGCTTATATTCTAGAAATGAAAACTTTAGTGAAGGATTCAAACTATGCTGTTCTGTCTCTTTTCTGGCTTTTCTGGATTGGCTTTTCTATGCTCTCTATAAATATTGCCATTCCCATTTGTTTAGTCTACATTAAAAGGTACAAAATATTTTACAACTTAAACTGAAAGGATACAAGAGCCTTTGGCAATGCAGAATCCAAATTTTTCAGGCATTCTTCTCTTCCCCATCCAGCGATGATATCTGCAAACTTCGCTTGGCTTTGTTGGGACATGGTGTAGTAGGAAACTGTTAAAAAGAGGGAAGTTCCAATCAGCACAATGATTAAGTTTAAAGCAGTACATTGAAGAAATAATCAGCAAATATGGGGTGGCTGATGTAAGGACTCCCATATTTCTACTTTGGGGGAGCAAAGAATAACACTTGCTGTGATACTGCATGTCGCAAGAGGCAATTAAATAAGTTAGTAAACTTACTTACTTGTATCACTTTCACTACCTGTCACTATTGCTATATAGCCAAAGTAACTAGTACAGTAGTCTCCTCCTAAGATGCCATTATGGGAGCAAGGAAAATTTGGGACCTCTTAGGTGAACAGGATCTTTGCAGACCCACCAAGGGAAGAATCCATGGTGACCAATGTTCAGGCTCAAACTCAAAGCAGGTAAAATGGTTTCCCCTTCACTCTAAAATGAACTGATGTGACCCCTGGATGGGTTTATGACTTATGGCGAGTAGCAAGTGGTCAACCTTGATGATCAATCACAGTGGCATCTTGATGCATGCCATTTTCACTCATTATCCTATCGTGTCGCGAGTCTCAAGAGATAGGCTTAAATCCCATTGGTACTCCCCTTCACCTGTCCAAAATTTATAGCTTTCCATCTCTCAGACCGATTTGTCCCTCCTTTGTCATTACGCATCACTGAGTTGTGACTTCACTAATTAAAATTCAGTCGGTCTCGCAAATTCTGGAGTAGAGACAACTGCTGCTATGAGTATGAGGAAGAGTTCACAGTTCGATGTGATCCCTCCTAGAGCGAACTTGTAGGCCCTACCTACCCAGCGTGTGATTTAAGTTTCGGAGGAGAACTTAGATGAGAGTGCAATGTTTGGGGAAGCAAACGTGTTGGCGAGTTCACACCTCGGTGTGATCCCGCCAAGAGCGAACATTGTACTGTTTAAACGAGATATACAACGGACATGTGATCACATTCACCAGAGTGGCTGATCTGTGACGTAGCAGGCAATTCAATGATTGCAAATGTTCAAGCTCGGTTGATCTGCTATGCCTGCCCAAGTTTTTGTTCCCAGTGCAAATTATGATAGTCTATATATCTGAAATGCGGGATCGAAGGCAGAATACATACATGTAGACCTTCAGAGGGGGATTTTAGTGGAGACTTTTTGCATACTAGAAATTCTGATGGTTTTTTTTTTACTCATCGACCTGTCTCAATTACACGTTTCATATAGTCTACTTTATTTCTAGTGGTATTTTGTTTGCTGAACACGAAATATGGCCTTCATTTTTGCCCCAAATCAATAGTTATAATTGAAGTATTAGCTCTAATGTTTGAAAACAGAACCATATATTACTATTACAGTAAGACAAATGATGTAGTAATATTTAACTTGTTTTTTAACAGCATGGGAGGTTTCAGAGGGGCCTAAAAAGATTCGGGGGGCGTGCATTTCACCATGATTTGATGTTTTGGCAATGAGAATTGATATTTACTTGAAAACAATTGATTTGACAAGTGGCCATCTATCATAATCTATGAGTGTTTTGCAGCAAACATTGTGGCAGTTTAGCCCTCAAAACGGGAAGAGTTTCGCAGACATGAAGCTACAGCGAGCATCTAGCACACCTCTGTGATAAGCAAAGTGTTTATGATAATGTTCATTATATTAGATTCTATGTCATGTAATAATAATAATAATAGATAGCATTTGTATAGCGCATGCATATCCCCGCTCAACAGCAGGCTCTATGCGCTTTACACTATATTATTACCCCAGCAGACCATAGTACACTCCGAAACATTCTCAGCTTCCCTGGAAGCATACAGTGCGAGCAGCCGATTAAGCGCTCAAACACTAACAAACTGACAAGATCTTTCGCTGTCTATAGCCGGGTATGTATGTTTTTAATGAACAGGTCAAACAAAATGGCTGTAACTATAGATCTAAATATCGGCCAATGGCGTACTCCTTACGTTCTCTAACTCTAATTATCCGCTTGTCAAAGATTTCTTTCTGAAATCAATGTTACAATTTGGTAGCGTTAATTGCGACAGAGTGATGCTGTGACAACTAACGCTGCGTTAATTGCGACAGAGTGAGTCTGTGACAAATAAAATGAGTTAAACAGAAAAAAGAAAACCAAACAAACACACACACATGCATTCACACACCTTCTCTCTCTCTCTCCCACACACACATACAAATACACATAAACGCACTCACACACACAGACACACACACATATATACACTCACATACCAAACTAACAAACAAAGACAGTTGCAGCTCTTTTCTTCTTGTTGTTGTTGCCCCTAGTGGTTTTTGTTGCTGTTGTATGCTGCTGATGGTTTGTTGCAATATTTCTAGCATCTGCGTTTGTTGCGGCCGCGACCCGGGAATCGCTGTCGCGATTTTTGGCATTTTTTGGTCCGCATTAAAAAAAAACAAGCAAACAAAAAACAACTTCAAAATGGCGAATAAAAAGCGGAAAAAAAAAAAGAAACCGAACCTCTTTACTTTTAGAAAGAAAGTTTACTTTCACTACCGCTTCACTTCGTCGCTTTCTCACTTGTTGACAGCACCCTAAAGGCCGATTCACATGGAGCAGTGTGCGGCGAAGCAATGGAGACGGAAAAAGTCTGTCAGCTGTGTTTGAAAATCTCTGTTTTGTTTGCCCACTAGCTATTCTATGGAAACTGTTGCGGAACCTTCACTGTGTTTTAGCGACCGCTTCCGTGAGCGAATTTTTAGACACTGTCGCGGAGTTTGCCTCTCTGTGGCCTGCCTACAGGACGTTCGAACATGGATTGACAAACATTGAATATTGGATGGATTTAAAAAGAAGCCCGTTTTTTAAATCAGCGTCTGATAATTAGTCTATTTGCTCGCCAGCACCCTCATTTTTGCGATATAAAAAAAATAAATTTAGACTATATAAATTTTTTTTTTTTAACCTACGAGGCTAGATTTTTTCTGTGAATATTTTGGCCTGCCTCGATGTAGCTGAAGCGACAAGTAGACAAACAAACTCACACACACACACACATGATACACCCATACACACACACGTAGGCCCCACATGTTTGAGGTTCACTAATCACCACTAATGAGCAAAATGAAGTTTTCCACTGCAATTTATGAAAAACTTCTCAAACTTGTTCGGCAAAATCCATCCTCCATGTATGACGCTGCCTTACCACAAAAACAAGAACACCTCTGCGCTTTCGCTCCTAAACACCACCATCATGTGGACATAAAAGTCCTTGCAATTTCCACAAACCGCCATCGTGCCGTCGTCGCACACTTCTAAATGTGAATCTGCCTCGTATTTGTTTATTTTTGCGGATGTTTATGTGCTGTTCTAAATTTGATTTCATTCTGTTGTGAATCCTTTATTTTTCACGTTTTTACACTCTGTGTGACTACAAATGATATTCTGCAGAGCACACGAAATTCTGGGGCTTTAGATTAAGTTACTTCTATCAATTCAATGTGTTCCTATATACGTCGTCATAGAAATTTGAAAGCTTGAAAATCAATGGCAACTTTTTGACCAAAAAATGGCAACAAACGCAGATGCTAGATATTTGTTGCCTCAATATTTGGGCTGTCTATAATGTGTACAGTGTACAGAGATAAAGTCAACTCTACTGTACTGACAGTAATTGTGGATTTTTGCAAACGAAGTGTATGTTATACAGACCCGGTAATGGGAATAAAATCACAAAGTATACAGACCCGGTAGGGGAACTCTTTTGCGATGAGTGATGTCGGAAAGTTTCAGCGCCCAGACACAGTAGTGTGTGTGTGTGTGTGTGTGTGTGTGTGTGTGTGTGTGAGCGAGAGAGAGAGAGAGATAGAGAGAGAGAGAAAGCGAGAGAGAGTAAGAGAGAGAGAGAGAGAGAGAGAGAGAGAGAGAGAGAGAGAGAGAGAGAGAGAGCAGGGGGCAAAATGTATGACATGCCCCAGTTGACAGGAGGGAACGAGAGAAAGATAGAGTGGGAAATAGATGGGGAGAAAGAAAAACAGAGACAAACAAAGAAAAAGAGAATGCGAGCGATACACAGGGACAGAGGGGAGAGAGAGAGAGAGAGAGAGAGAGAGAGAGAGAGAGAGAGAGAGAGAGAGAAAGAGAGAGAGAGAGAGAGACTGCTCGATTAAAATTATGACATTGTTCTTTTCTTCAAATTGTGATTCCTCCAACTACAAAAACGGAGGAAAAACGATAGTTCATCGAAGAACATACGATCGTTCATCGAAAAGACATCCGCAATTTTCATTTAGAGGCTAACCTCGAAACTAGATCAATGATTTATGTCTGTCTGTCTAGATCAAGACCTAGGCCATAGATCTAGAAGAACCTCTAGAGGTCTACCCTGAGCTAAGAGGGCGCTGAAACTTTCCGAAATCACAAAAGAGTTCCCCTACCGGGTCTGTATACTTTGTGACTTTGTTCCCGGTTACCGGGTCTGTATACACTCCCTTTTGCAAAACACTTTTTAAGTTCGCCTTCTCAACTGTTTCATTTCAGTGATTTCTTCCTAGAGGCAACAAAATTTTCATCTTTAAATTTCGTCGTAAGATTTGAATGCTTGCTCTAGAAACATCGTACAGCTAAACGTAGAACGACGCATCTGCCTGATTGGCTGCTTATTTTAGTAATGTAATGTCATCACATCCTGGGATACTCACAGACTATTTTTAGAAAACCGCGTAAATACCTACTACACTACACGATCTTTGGAGATAGGCTACCGCATGGATTCATGGAACGACATGTTGGGCCAGTGGCTTGACCTATTATCCGTATCGATGTGTTTAGAACGGTAAAATTTCACACTTGTGGCTAACTGTAGTCGCACGGGTATCCCGGTCTGACGTCACACAAAATAGCCGTCTGACCTAAAAATAGTTTGTGTCGTTCTACGTTTAGTCGCATGTGCTCTAGAAAAAGCCTTCCTTGTCAGGCGGAGATTTAGATACTAGGACCACCACGCAGGGAAGCCAAGCGGAAATGGTAGATCTAGATTAGATGATGTTGAATGTTGGATTCTAATCATCGATGTAAAAAAGCTCCATTAACTCTGTCAAAATTAACGCTGCGGGAGTTGTCACAGCGTCACTCTGTTGCAATACACTAAAAAGATCTAGAGTCTACCTTACAATTTGCCGCCAATCTGTCTAAAAACTAGATTTAGATCTAGATCTAGATCTAGAATCTAGATCTACTCTAAAGCCAAACTTCAACTGATATTTTTCACATCTTTTTTTAGATTTTAGAGGAGGGGCCTACCCAGTTGAAGTAATTTTTTCTGGCTATCACACCAGTAATGACTTGACCCTTATTTTGAACCATTCAACTACAAATCACACCTTACATTTCTGCCTCTGCAATGGTAGATCTAGAATCTAGACTAGATCTATAGATCTAGATTTATATAGATCTAGATTCTTGTGTCTAGTCTGTGAAAAGTCAGAAATGCCGCCATGTCTGACGAGAGGTAAAACAATAACAGCTATGAGAGTTACTTCCCATCTCGTTTTTTCTGGCGGACAGCTGATCGCTTTTTAATGCCGACGGCGACCGAGTTTTGCACTACACAAAAATTAACCACCCTTCTCGCTAGGGTTTAGTTGAAAAAGTGCAGAAGTCGGCTTTTTATATATTTTTGCCTCCCCACCCCCCCTATTTTTTCTCTCTCTTTCTGTAACTTGAGGATTGATCTAGATGATCTATAGAATTTCCTCTCCTCACTCTCTCTATCATTTTTTTCTCCATCACCGTCGCAGTCACTTTTCTATTTCCTCTATCTCCTGAAAATGGTCCATATTCTTTTCTCTGAAATATAATTATCAGAATAGACTTTTCACTTGTTGGTGAATGCGTTTTGATAGGCCTACTTAACAATATTATGCGGGCACACAAAGATAATGAAACATAGCCTATAGATGTGTAGACAAACAGTTTGTTTTCTTTCCTCTGGAAATCCAAAATTTTACCCTCTTTGGCGACCTTTGGTTTATATGCAACCTGGTCTATTTAAATAAAAGGGGTGTTATTTTTTAAAAGCATCTTTTGAAGACAGTATATAACCATACGTATCTCATAAACCAATCTAAATATCAGTGCATAAAATATCTAGGTAAAAACACCAAGGATAAAGATGTAAAAACGTTAACATTTTGCATCTAAATAATATTAGCTATACAAATATGAGCAATTTTACCTTTCACAGAATGGAATCACCCGGGGGTATTCTATTCTATTCTCAGCGGTAAAACTGAAATCGCGGGAAAGATTCACATTGTTTACCTGGGTGATGACTTTCAGGATTTCTGTTTTCACAGACAGACAATTTACTGACAAGATTTATTTGGATTACATCATAACAATAGATCAAATATTTCATACTCATTGAACCAGGATGCCTGGCTCTTTAGCTACGTCACTTGCTGCTCAACGAATCATCCTTACTGATGACAGTCTGCAAAGGTTTGTGAAGTTGTCCCAACACTCAACGTTAGTCGTTAGTGATCTTATACTTTAGCACGTTAAATTCTTCAATTGAGGACTTAAACGAGCGACCACTTACAGGTCTGGATCAAAATTCTATGTCATCAAGATTATACTCAATGGCTTCCAAAATCATGATGGAAGACTGAAAACCACTGTCATACGATCTGTTCATGTCAAAATTACGGCCACCTCTATTCTCACCGTGCAGGCGAGTCTTGTGGCTATTCTCACCCGGTGCGCGTTCACCAAATTTTGCGTTCACCCTAAACCACAGAATTTTA